CCATCCTCCTCAGTACTCTTCAGTACTCTTGAGTCCTCAAATGTTTGTCCGCTAATGTCCACCAATGTCCGCTAATGTCCACCAATGTCCATCCAAGTCCGCCAATGTCCGTCCGGGTCCGCCAATGTCCGTCCGAGTCCGCCAATGTCCGTCCGGGTCCGCCAATGTCCGTCCGTGTCCGCCAATGTCCCAAAAAACACGTCCGTTGTCTCATAGAATCCAAAAAGGACAGGACATAGGCAGACATAGACGGACATGACACCCCCCCCCCCCAACAACCTTAAGACCATTCATTGTCGACAGTAGACCCATAACATATACATATCAATCAACTGTTCTTGGACTAAGCAATAAGCATTGACAACAAGCTTACGGTCAAGGCCAAGGGTCACACAAATTTCAAACTCAAACAATGATGGTTTGCCTGGTACAGGATCACCCAAAACTCCACCCACCACAGAGGTCTGAATGCAAGCTCACTCAGAATGCTCTTCAGAACAGTAGTACTCACAAAACTTCTATATGCTGCTCCAATTATGCAATATGGCTAAAAGATAACCTCGATACTTTTAAAGACTTTTATGCCAGGGTCCTCTTGAAGGTAAGCAGGGCCACTCACCATCCTCCCAAAGATTTGACCTCTGTCGCGCTTGGGATTCCTCCCCTTGAGATATACTACAAGATGGTCACTATAAAATTCTTGATAAGAGCACTTACAAGTGACCCATTTATGCAAGGGGTCATCTTGCAGCTAGAGGAGGCAAAAGCCCATCAATACTAGCACCATATTATCAAGATACATAAGTTTCTAACGCAGACAACTGGGACCAACAAACTGAACAGAAGCAAAATAGACCTTCTGACTAGTGTCCAGAACGGTGTTGTCAGCTACTCAAAAGAAGTAATAACCCACTTCATGGACTTTACATGGAATAAACATCTCCTGCTAAATCCAAGAATAAATCAGAGTGAGGATACTGGATAACATTGATGAAAGGAGCAAAAAATTCTTTCCTCGCCGCGCTATTCAAGCAGAAGCACAGACACCAAAGTTCTTTCTTAAGAGGGAATGTTAAAAAACTTTTGAGATAATGGCCAGCATCAAAAAATTTTGGTGACGGGTCTGAATTCTTTAACCAAAATTTTTTTTCGGGTCAAGAAGTATCCCTGTAATCCTTCAGAAACCATTAGAACCATTCGCCTCCCCTCAACCACCTAAAATGCCAAAATTTGTCAAAAACCTGTCAACAGTGCTTAAAAACCTTGGATTTTTAAGTGGTCTTTAAGCAGTTTTGTCAGAAAACGGCAGAATATAACTCATTATTATATAAGTTCACTCAATCAGCCCTAATTCAAGACAAACTTCGAGCATTTTACTGAAAATTTTGTGTTCAAATGAGCATAACTTGAGTCATTACAACTTCTCTGATGCGTGTCACTCTGGCCAGTTTATTGCCATTTTGAAAATCTTTCAGACTAACTTAATGCAAATTTTAAGTTTCCACCCATTCAAATACCAGACTTTTTAAACGTTGGCGAATTTATGATTTCAAGGGACCTGAACTAGGGATAGGAGGTTCAATGTAGTATAGTGTTATTCTTTTAGGGATTGTTCACATATTATATTAACCAGATAGATAAAACAACACATGATGTACATGCACATAATATATAAAGAAAAGCTCTTATGATATGATTTTGTATCAGGATAACATAATTTGACCTATTTTTATTGGTCTCCTGCCATTTTCTTGCACTTTTGAAACAACGTTTTAATCTCATATAACCTATCCACTGACCATAGATATTAAACAATACCAAATTTATAACCTCAAACTGTATAATTTGGGAGACCTCAATTTAAATTCTAGACTCTAAAATAAATTCTCCAAATACAGTAAAACCCCGATTTACCGCGGAATTTGGGGGAAGGAAACATTCGCGGTAAATCAGTGTTTGCGGTAAATCGGGTAGCGGAAAATCGGGGTTTTACTGTAGTCTCTAGTTTGTGCATGTCAAGTTTCGAAAAAATGTCATGAAGACTCTAGGAAAAATTGTCATTTCAGGGTAATTTGAACAGCATAAATTTTGGGTCATTTTTTGTCAAATTTTTATGAAATTGTATATATGAACTCAGGAGATCAGCAGCTACAAGTAGAGCACCCGAAAACTATGTTTTGGGGTAAGATAAAGGTACCTTTTGGTGAGAAATGGATCATACTCAAAGTAGGCTTTGACAATAGCATGTATTTGAAAAGCCTAGTGCAGCAAAGTATACAAATTTCGAGAGCTATGTAACATATTTGATATCTGGACCAGTTGTAACATAATTTAAATCGATTAACAATGAAAATAAGAGCTTAATATCTAGCTGGTTGCTCTTTCATAAACTAATCTACAGAGTACAGATGTTTAAAACCGTACCAATGTTTTGTGAACACAGCATTATATAAGCACTTGAAACAAGCCATAACCTTGACTAGGATAACAATCTCAAATTGGTTTTAAGATAAGACATCAACTGTTCACATTAAACTTGGTCAACTCATGTTACAAATGTTAAGTTCTGGTTGTCTTCAGCACTGATTATGTTGAACCATTGTTGAGTTAGTCCGACAGGAGGGCCCACTTTTGCTGGTCCTCTGTGAAACAGTGCGAGAGGCTGCCCCACATCTGAGAATGACACATATGATGAGAAGTGCAATAGCTGTAACCAAAATCACACTGAACACTCCGACTATTAGGTTGCTGCTGTCCACTCCTGAAAGTATGTGTTAATCTAAGTAGTATAAAATGGACCAGCTTAGTGGCAGTATAGTGCAGAGACTAGTAAGTCTCTGTGACATTGCTAACGTGGAGGTTAGGGCTCTGTTAGGTCTTTGTAGAAGGTGTATAACTACTAGAAAATGACGGAAAATGTAATAATGACGAAAATGTCACCTCGTGCCGAAGCCCCTGGCAAAAATAATTCTTGCAAAATACACTTCCTCAACTGTTGGTTTCCTTATAAGATCATTAAGCTCCTTTTATTGACTTGTAACCAGTTAAAGTAAACCCTTTATTTACCATAACTCTTTGGATAATAGCAAATTGCAACTGTAAATCGAGGTATAATTTTCATTAGTTTACTCCTAAAGCATATTATAGTTTCGAGATATCATGACCGGTAAAGTATAGCCAGGTTAATTGATGGGTTACTGAGCTCATAATTACTATTTGTCTCTATGAATACATATGTTACATATGGGTACTGGCTAGAGAGGCTACCAGGTTATTCGTTAGAATTGAAATGAAAAGAGAGTATTAATTAATAAGTTACATCCTTTCTCCGTCAATTAGTAATCGTACGATTATAAGTATTCTAGTCAGATTTTACTACTACTCAATGAAGCAATAAGTTTTATTTTACATTCCTACTATTACTACTACTTACTTAATAGTACATAGCTTAAACTGTTCTTTTAGGTGATGTATTCTCGCTCATTATTAGCAATGTTAAATAACTGTAGGGTACTGCGATGAGAGAGTAATGTATAGTATAACTTAGCTAGACTGTAAGCAATTTTGTGTATTGTATTTTGAATTTTTCTGCACAAAGAAATGCTTGATACAGATATAAACTACATTTATAACTGAAACTTGATGACACACAAAACTAACGTTATAAAATAAAGTAGAAACTATTGTCCTAGTAGGGATTTATGTGATAACGTAAGTATATTATTCATGTAAGCATTATTTATCATTAGTGTATGCTTCTACAGTGCACTCTAAAGCACTCTACAGTGCTTTAGTAGAATGTCCTAACACTCTTTATAATCTCATATTGTATTTGCTGATGTAGTCGAGCTCAAAGTCGCATGATCTGGAATTGTTCACATACAGAGTGTCCATTGGACAATGGACACCCTGTATGTGAACAATTCCAGATCAAAAACTTGGACACTGTCCAAGTTTTTTCGTTGATAACTCGCCTGGACTCCCCGCTTAGCAAGTCATGTGCCATAATGCCCCAGTGTCTGTGTTAACAACTTAAAGACTTCAGGGCACAACTCTATAAGAACACTGTTCATTCTTCAGGCATATATTTCTTCAAAGTTGAGGATGTTTATAGAGCCGATTCTGAGCACAAGTGACTGTCTCCATTGTATTAATGGATCCCATGTGCAGTCATGCAATAAGTTTAGCTGCTAATATTTGTATCTGATATTAATCAATTTATGGTGATTGTACTTTTTAAAAGTGAGTGATTTGTGAAAGGTTGCTAACTTTTGGCCGTTCCTACATGAATTAGCAATGCATCAAAGTACAAAGTTGTTAAGCATTCCCATGTTTCTTAGTTCTGACTTAATATATTTTGTAAAGGTTGAGAAAGTTTTCTGATTTGTATTTTATATGTCAAGAAAAGTATCTCCCTCCCTTCTCGAGGGGTTGCTAATCTCCCTCCTTAACTCTTTTCTTCCTTCTTCAGCGCAAAGAAAATGTCCCTTTACCTCTGAATGTTGAGTCTTCAAAATCCGTTGTTAGATTTGGAGCATCGCTGTAATTTGTTGTCATCGCAGCTAAGGCTGATACTATTAATCAGTTTATATTTATCTTATTTACTCTCTGTCCATATAATCTTTGGCAAAGTATACAAAGCTACGACAAAATAACGTCATAACTTAAATAAGATCATAATCAAGGATGCAACTGCAATGCTCTTTAGTAATTAAGTTTTAGTTAAGTAATTAACCTACGAAACAGAAGGCAAATTCTCAAAATATGAATATTTTTATTTCACCCAATGTTTGTTAAGAAAGATTTTGAATTTGTGTGACGGATTTAGTTGATTGTAATGGACTTCCTCAATTATCAAACTCTGCTATTGTCAGCATTGTAATGATCATAACGGGCATAATATAATAACAAAGGGTTTTGACATTCTTCAGCGTATTTGTTTATTTTAATTATTCAACAACATTTTATCGATTAAATCATAATCATTCTTCCGTTCTAGGATGTCCAGCTTGGAATTGAAGTTCAGCGTTACCAGCGAAAGTGATGTAAGTAACTAAACTGTTTTAGACCGCCCCAAATTTAATGTCGTTTACGTAACGCGCGGTATATTTTTAGCGATTCAATATTAATATATTTCGCGCAAAACGCGCACGATTTATTATTTGCAAGTTTGCACGAGCACCGCTATCTAATAATGAACAGATACAACAGGTAATTTCTGTCTGATGTCATCCTCAACAACGGCCTTCTTAGCCCTAACCGTGTATAAATTACACATAATCTACGCTACCATTCTTCCCCATCTAAGACTACAGTCCATTACCTTTCCGAGCTATGAAGCATGATACATTGGCCGATCTGTAGTAATTTAAAATATCCTGCGTCATCAGTCATGAGTCATGCTAACTTCGTTAATACGCTGATAATGCTTTTAAGTGGTTCAGTGCTGCTGTTAATGCATGCTACACTAACATTTATCGCCAGGTCCTAGCGGAGGGTGGTGCTTTAGCTCCGGGCAAGTGCTTATTGTGCCAGAAAGTTCAGCCCAAATCCGCAAAAAACAGTACGTGCTTTTTGTGATAACTTCAAATAATTTTATCAGTATATTTTAAAGAGTATCATAGTACCATGTGTGCCCTTGAACTTTGAGGGTCAAAAAGTTTCAAGTTTTATAAATGCGAAATAATAATATTTTTGTTATTTCAGATGAGGATCCAGAGAACAAGTTTTTCTGGGTTTGCTGCGAGTGCAGACAAATTGACAGCACTGATCTACTACTGGTGAGATTTAGCGCATACCACATACCTACATATGGAGATATTGCAGCCTGTTATTTTGCGTTCGGAATTTGCATTCGCAGATGACTATAATGCAATGTTGAGAACGTGATAATTGTATGCTGTAAGGTGTGAACTCTACTTAAAAGCGAAGTTACTTAGTTAAAATCTTTACTGGCATGAAAACGGGAATTATTCTTGCTTCCCTGCAATAACATGTGCTATTCCAGGGCAATGATCTGAAATTAGGTAACATATACGACATATTGGGGGAAACGAGAGGTCCCAGTAATCGGTACAAGTCTGACATTGACTCTCAGGCAGCCCAGGTTTCTACTCGCAATTTAATTTATAATAAGTTTAATTTAAAGTAGCAACTTAGCTGGTTCATTAGTCTGTAATTGGAGCTTCTGATCGGCAATTTCAGAATTATTTCAGAAAAATGCTAATTTCTGTACATGGTAAAGATTTTAAAACTTCCAACTCTCAGCAAATCTTCCCTAATTGCTCATACACATTGAAAACGCTCCTTTTAATATGATCCATTGACCATTCCTCATTCTCTTCTATTTTTCAGCTGATGTGGGTAGAGTTGCGGCACACTGTGAGGTGTATTTACCGCAAAGCTGGCACAGAGCTAGCAATTGATCACATGCTTGACGTAGAGAAGATGAAATCTCTCGTTCACAAGTTCGTAACCTCAGCGAATGCTGAAACGTAAGAAAAGTTTAGGAATGTTGAGATTTATAATTGATAAAAAATATTTCGATTCTTATGATACTGTTTCTCGAAGAAAAACAAAACAATTGATGTGTCTAATTTAATTTCTCCACCGTAGGCTATGCGAAAGAGGTCCACAGCAGCTTTATCACCAGCTGGAAACTCAAGGGAGGGAATACGTGGAGGAAGTTAAGTTTCACCTCCTAGAGCATCTCCTCTGTCATCCCTCCTCTATTGGGATACCTCAACATGCTCGCGAATTCGCCCAGACTCTTCTTGATGAATATGAACAGGTGCGAAGAATCTCGTGCTAAATGCTAATCATATTGGAGTTTGTTTAACTATCAAACGAATTCAATCCAATCAGACTATAATCTGGCTGCGATTCAATTACACAAATATAATCCCATCTCATTACCTTCTCTTATGTCATGCAGCTCTTGTGCGCAACCATTACTCTGCAATCGTTCCTGGTGGAGTTGGAAGACGAGCACATGGCAAAGTTTGGCATTACCTGGATGTTAGTTAACCAGCATCTCTTCCACCAAGTCGTCTACTCAGATCCTATCATTCAGAAAAGCTTACCTGGTAAGTTTTACTGTGCTGTGTTTTTGTAGTTTTTTAGTTGTTTTCTTGTTCCTGTAATTCTTCAAGTTACTTCAACTTCTGTATATTATGTTAACTATAAAATCCGATTCCTTTCTCTTGCATTTTTCTGTTTCAACGGACTGATTACAATAAAAATGCGGTTCAAGTGCGGTAAAAGCACGATAAGCACGAGTTGTACACAGCTCGCTTTAGCGTGTACTCGTGTAACAGCTTTATATCATGCAGGTTAAAGTCCTATGTAGAACATTATACTGTGTACTGTGTAATGTCTATTGTCTTCAAGACACTGAACATACAGCGTCTCTCAACATGGCACTATTGTATAGGGGCTGTTGTGAATATGAGAGGTGGTGTGAATATGAGAGGTGGTGTGAATATGAGAGGTGGTGTGAATATGATCTGGTATTTGATGTATCGCACATCTACCAACAGTGCTTGTAATTCACTATCTGCTTGTAATGACCGGCAATAAATTACCAAAGTAATGAGTCCGTTGTAAACAGAGGAAGTGTAACAGACATGTAATGTTGGTGAGTAGTAACAGATAATGAGTATTTAGCGTGTAATGACAGATAACGACTAATGAGCGTGTAATTACAGATAATGAGTTCTCTCTCTCTGTTGCAGGAGTTTGTATCCAGTTAAAGTACGGAGAACTGCAGCAGGCCAGTAACACTAACTCAAAGTTCGAGAGTTACAGCTCCGTGTATTACAGGTTTGTAATTGGGTTCTCTCTCTCTCAAGAAACAGTAACTGCTCTGTTTTTATCTTAACTTACACAGTAACTTTCATGAAAATATGAAACACATTATATTATGTTGCTTGATGGTAGAAGTAAAACTAATAGACCACATCCTAGTGATGATCTGTTGCAGCCTGTAACTATACATTATCTGTAACTATACATTATACATTATCAATCGTTCTCATGTCCCTAAGATCAAGAGTTATTGGTGCAATTTGAGCTCTGTGTTGGCAAGGTAGCAAACGTGACGTCGAATATAATTCAAACTGTCCCGTGAAACCAGACACCCTCAAATGCTAACTGTATTTTTAACGTTCATCTGATCCGTTGTTAATTCTCCCAAAACATGCTGCTTGTCTTCAGACTAAAAGCGTTCGAAGAGGAGATGGTTCGAATAGAGCAGCAGTGGATCAAAGCAATAGTCTCGCTGGCCAGTTTTGTGAACAACGAGAAGGTGGCCAGTAGCGAGAAGGATCACGAGGAGTGGGAGTTTCTGAGCAGACAACATCTCATCCATGCTCGGGAGAGGGCCATCAAAAAGTATGATTCTTTTGTTTTCTGCGGAATGCAATTTTATATGCTCATATTATACAGTATACAGATAATAATATATTAATAGGTGGGACAGTGTGTTATTGTTGAATGTATGAGTGTAATGTAATAACAGTCTTTAGCCGTGTCAGAATATGTCAACGCTTTTTAGCCGGCCTTGTTCCAGGAATTTAATCAAGGACGAGGGACAAGCCTCATTTGAAAACGGGGACGAGAATCTGCCGTCATCTTTAAAAGGAAAATTTATCTTCGCTTCTCAGAATTCGACGAAAAGGTGAGAAAATCGCGCCATTTTTCTGATCAATGCAGCAGTTGTAGTTGCAGTCTCTCATTCAAATGCTTTTCAGTTTGAAGTGAATTTGAAATAAACTTTATAAATTTTCGGTGCACACTAGGTTTTTCAATCATTTTTGAAATCATCGTTTATTTGAATCATTTCATCGTAAATTCTGTATTCTATTAAATTTCAGTCAAGAAGATTCAGACTCGAACAAAGAAGAAAAGATCGAGAACATTCCATCTTCGCTTCTGGGACATAAGAAACTTTTCATAAAACACACAATTCCCGCCCCACCTATTTATCCCAAAACACAACTTAAAGCCGCCAGCGAAGTCCTCAAAAGTGTCAAAGTAGACAAGCTCTCGTCAGGTAAACCTAAATATGACTATTGTTGTTCTTACCTACCTTATTTAGTTTCAAGTAACTTGAATAGGGATTATAATCTTATAATATCACGTACATAACATTGACCACTAGAAACTGAGTAGTGTTTTCGTGCTTTATGATACGTCATGACTAACTCACATTTACTCTCACACTATGACTAATCATGACTTTGGCTGTGAACGATATTTTTTGATGCGGTAAAAATTTTCGATTAGGTTATAGAACTTTGTCGTCAACGTCAACTAAAGAACCGTACTTTTTACAGTATAGAGCTACAGGGTGAGTTGAAAATAGTGTGTGGAATGTAAATTTTATAAGCTGTAGATGAAGGAGAGCAATTAGAACATAACTGATTTTACACTCTCTCGAAAATAGTTTTCGACTGGCGGGTTTGGTCGGCACACGTCAACTTATCCAGAATCATATAATATATAATACAAGTAATGGAGTGTAGCACCCAAGCCACAAAGAAGAACAGATTTGATGTCCTAACCGTGTGGATTAGGCACCAGTTTTCAGAGGATGTTTAACCATTATCAGCTTTAGAGTGGTGTCATAGAGGATGTCAGGAAAACACACAGGACTGGAGCACAAACCCAGCTGATATTATACAGCCATCCTATTCAGGACTCATGTCTCATACACTCTGTATATAATGTATATTTATTTGTGGAATAAACACATTTAAGAAGTGACCTTTGCGTCCCTGTAGCTAGGCTGTGGTAACCTGATGAGCTTACATGAATATACCATCGACCTACCAGTGACCTTCTCTCGACTTTTTGTGCCAATGTGCATATATACACTCTTTATATGTTGTTTTTTGTGGAATAAACACATGTAAGCGGTGACTTTTGCGTCCATATTGTAAGGAAGTATTGTATGCAAGACTTTGCATAATATTCAGCCTCGCAGAATGCTGTGATCCTATTGGCTAGTGTTATGCTCACACTCCCTCCTCATTGGATAACGGCGTTAACATCCTCACATTCCAACTGATCTGAATTCTACTGCAGTAATTTAACACATTCACTCTGCTCACTGCTGTTAATAATGTTATACACCTCAATTGTACAATTGTATTGTTTACTTTCACATAATCTCGTACAGATCTACTACTTGTGTGTAGGATGGTGATTGTAATATAATACCTACTGCAGTATGTAGCAGGTGTCTGCAGTATATCTTCATGTTAAGCGGTGACCTTTGCGTTCCTTTGGTAATCTGATTATCTTAGTGTACGTGTTCTTATGGCCATGGTAATTCAATGGTTTCTGAGATGTTGGTGTCTACAGATTGCAGCGATCCTATTGGCTGTGGGCTCCGTACTCTATCCTCATTCGATATTGGGGCTAATTTAGTCACAGTTACATTGATCTAATTATCGCATAACTCTGCAAAAACATACCAGTAACCTTCTTGGAACTTTTTACGCACATGCACTCTGTGTTTTATATCATAATTCTGTGGAATAAACACACATAACTGGTAACTTTTGCGTCCATGTTGTAATCTGAGAAGCTTTTAATTCATATGGTAATCTAATATGCAGGACTTTGCAGCCTCGCAGAATGCTGTGATCCTATAGGCTGTGTTAAGTTCACACTTCCTTATCATTCGATAATGGCATTAACGTCCTCACATTTCCACTGATCTTGTTTCTGTTGCAGTAGTTTAATGTTGTTCCTTTCACATCATCGTACTCCTTTTGTGTGTAAAACATGTACCCTGCTGTTAATGTTGTAGACGAGCTCTAGTACTGGGTTGGTTGCCAGGGTACCATTTAAACTCAGCACTACAAATATTGGTATTCTCCAGCTTTGGCTTTACTCTTTCATTATGCCCTAATAGCCTAATACCGCGACCGAGTCGCTTTGAATTATTATACGCATTTGTTTTTGATTATTTTAGTAAATTTAGGCTTGTCACTGGATGCGAACTGGCATGGTGATCCGGCTGGTATATTATAGTTGTTGCGTGCTTGCAATTATTTTGTGGATAAGGTAATTAATTGTCAAATATCAACTTTCAACTATAGTGTACGAAAAACCCTCTAGTCGAAAGCTACAGTAGTATTGCCAGACCCCAGTTCATTTTTTACGGAGATTTATGTTAACAGGAAACGATGTAAAGATGTAACAGAGTCTATATATTTTATTGTTGCCATGGTGTGCCCAGTCCCCATTCATCGTAGTCCGATAGTTTGTAAAAATGTAAAATCAGGTATGTTTTAATTTCTCTTCTTCATCAAGCTCCATACTGTAAAAAGTACGGAGTTTTATTTGACGTTGACGACTAAGTTCTGAGTATTCCCTAATCGATACTTTTTATCACACCAAAAACATCAATCACAGCCAACGTTATGATTAGTCATAGCGTGAGAGTAATTAATGTGAGTTAGTTTTGTCCATTATTAATGGACTTCGCTCACTTCCGACATTATTTACAAAAAAATAAGGCATAAATCAAAATTATAAAAATGCTGAAATTGGGTTTAACGGATAGTCACTTTTTGGTAAATTTGTGTTTATTTATACCGTTGCCGGGGAGATTTGGTCAAGTTTAAAATATAGTATAGATAAATCTTCTCCTCAGGGTCTATAGAGATAAAAGCTACTCGTGTAGAAGATGACTCTTCGTGTGTGTGCGACTGTGCAGCTTGTACCACTCTAATGGACTCACTGGCGGCTAACGAACCTACTGACGAGGAATCTTCTCCCACAGAGGAATCATCGCCGTTAGAGAAGAATTGGGTTCACATACTCAACGATATCAAGGACGTTGGTCAGTCAATATCAAGATATTATTGGTCAATAATATAATATTAAATATTTGTATCTATTCTATATATTATGCGCATAACATTCAGAACTGGTCCGGTCAGTTATTAGTCTTATGAGTCCATGACTAGTAAAGCTCCTGTTAAAAAAACATGTCTAATAACGACCCCATTTGCAGGTTGTGACAGCAGTACGCAGACTATAGACGACGGAGAGGACCGTCCCTCGTCAGAACGGCGCCTCTCCACCAGCTCCATGTCATCCAAGGATTCAGACAAGCCTAAATACTGCGCGTGTTGCTACTGCGAACTGGTCGGGCATCCCAACCCCTCCGCACAAAACTCGCACAATTATGAGATCTTCCGAGAGAAACTGCGGAAAAAGTTAGAGTACAAGAGAAATCCGGAAAAAGCGCGGCGAGAGCTCTGTGCAGAGCACCAGAACAATTTCAATCTAAAAGTGGACGCTCAATCAAACAATGTCAGTAAGAATGAAAATGATTGTCAGGGGAGGCCAGCTAATGCTGTAGATAGTCGGAGCGTGGAGGAATTGGTTTCATTTATCGAGGGTAAGGATGGCAAGGAAACGAAACGAAGGAAAAGGAAGAGCAAGCCAAAGGATCACAGTAAAAATGAAGATGCAAGGAAAGAATCTTCCTCTGGACCAAAAGCGATGGACAAAGCAGACAAATTGTCGGAAACAACAAATATGGACGCTTCACCATCGTTAGAAACGAGAAGTGAGCGTCGGAGCCAGAGTAGCGAATCAAATCTCTCTTCGAACAACACAGCTCCTCCGATGAGTGTTGAGACGGAGATGAAAACCGACGAAAAGGAAGACGAAGAGAAGCCACTAACGTTCTCTTTCCACCTGGATAAATACGATAGTCTGAGCAAGGAACAACGTGCTCTCCTCCTCTGCGGTTACAGAATAGATGACCATCCCATGTATCGCAAACAAACCCAGCAGATTGAGTCCATGAAGCTGCCGCGTGAAATGATGGATCGTTCTAACCGCAATAACATGCCCAACGGCAAGCTGATGCCGACATTCCAGTTCTTGAAAACTATGGATAAGGTATTAATGTATATTCAGTGTTAAGTAGAAATTTCAACAATTTACTGATCGTGTAATTCTTAAATTTGGGAGTGTTTTATTATCAAGATTCGATCATTGCCCGATTAATTAAAAGTTATCCATTTCAGGAGGCTGATCTTGCTGCTGAACCTCAGGACAAAACGGAATCAGAGAAGGCCAGAGAGGCTATCATCGTTGAGACCTTGAAGAAAGAGCGGCCCAAACCAGAGCCATCTTCGAAACCAAAGATCAATGTTAAAGAGGCCTATCACGGGAAGAATGCTGGAAAACCCATCACTCTACCAAAGTCTGCCCAAAGATCAAAACCTGTTATCAACTCGAACACGCCTTACGGTCCACCTCCCCCTCCGCCAAAAGTTAACAATGTCGAGTCGAAACCTATTTCAACCAAACAAATCGAACAAATAAAAGTTATCCCTTCCAAACCAGATTCACCAAAACTTGCTCCAATCCAGAAATCTCCAGTCTCTCAAAAGAAAGTTTTACTGAACCAGAAGCCTGTTGAACTCCCAAAACAGATCAAGGAGAACCAACTCCCGACGAAGCAGTCTGTCCAGCCGCCGGCAAAGCCAGAACAAGCTCCAATTGACAACAAATCAGTTGCTGCTAAAGGGAAGGCGCTGCAGGGAAAGGTCACCAAACAGCCCCTCAAGGAAACTAGAAGTGATCCAGCCCCGAAAAGGCCCGCTGAGCAGAAGTGTGTCTTCAAGGAAGAGTCGAAGGCCAAGGAAGATGATACATCAGCCAAGAAGAAGAAGTTCAAGAAGAAGAAGAAGAGGAACGAGAGTTTAGGTATGTTCCTTAAATACTTTTTATCATCATATCATATTCATTATTCGTTATCATATTTATTGTTATTCAGTCACAAAACACCCTAGGTTTTGCGGCTGAATAATAATAAATAAGAACTGGTGGTGATTATAACACTCACTTGTTAAGCAGTGTAGAGCACTAGCAACCTGCCCTGCCAGCAGTGACGGTACCAACACAAGTACTCCACTGGGACATGTACTGCAGTCCACCACACCTGCGGAAGAGAGAGCCGCGCACGGCATGCACGTGCGCGCGTGATCTGATAACTGCTCCTCGAACTTACAGTCTCCTAGTTGGAGGTGGAATGTTTGGAAATTAAATTTTAAAATACAAAATAAACTAGCTCCACAAAATGCGCCAATCATAAACCATTAAATTCACAAATAACCAACATTACTATGGTTTATGGTGAGACACTTCAAAATTGTCAGTATTTGATGAAGAGACTTTAACTCACTAAAACTGCACGTGTAGGTGACTGTAAGATATTTCCCCACCCCACGACAAGGGTCACCAAACACCTCATTATTTGCATTAATCTCGCACGTCTTCTGATCATCACAAGCTCCTGATACTATCCCCAAGGATCCTGTTGCGTGGCAACTCCTTGTTGGTTCGCCGTAACTTGCTGACTCAATCGTAATGAAACCAGTTTCACATGTTATCTTCAGAGTTTGATTTTCTCTCACTTTCGGGGTCGTTATTGAAGTGGAGGATATGGTGATGAGTATTATCACTGCTGATAATGACACTGTTGACATATCCACATGGATCTACCAAATATGTCACGTTAATCTTTTAGATAATAATGGTTACCCAATCAATACTCAATAAGTCACCTTTCCTTAATCATGTGATCTCTTATTGACTAAAAATACGTCCAGACATTTAAGATTATGAAATAAACGATACCTGGCATTGTAAACGAAAAGATAATTGGGTCAACGAAAGATAATTCAGAGGCACAGTAATATGGGTAGACCAAAAATAAATCAAGTACCAAATGTACGAATAAAATTACAGCTGCAGACACTGCAAAAAGGCTGAAAAGCTACAAATACAAACAATCAGTTTGTAAGTGTTACCTTATATTTAAACAAATAATGACATCAGTTGTTTAGCCACAGTCTAGTGAGTTTACCAAACTTCTCCCAAACATATTGCCTTATTTGTGCAAAATCGTATAATTTTCCTTTAATTGAGATAAGTTTCTTTGGAGGATGTCCTCTAATTGAGATAAGGTTCTTTAGAGCTGATGTCCAAGGTGGAGTAATTACTTCTTTCCCCCAAATCATCATTTTAAGTGAAATGATGACCGACCATCTTAGCATCTTTGGAACACTCCTGTTTATTATGTATTGCTCATTTAAAGCTTGTGCAAATGAGGGAAGCAAGAAAGCGGCCTATTTCTTAATAATTATAGCGGGCTCACGTAGATTTGGGGTTGCAACCCTTTATGCTGACATAAAAGCTGTACCGAAAGGGCCGTGACCGAAAATCAATTAGACCGCGAATAGGTTCCCTGACTGCGGTCGACCAAATTATTTATCTATTATTATATCGGGTCTCAATAAGAGGTCTCGACTGCCTTGGCATCAAACCTTGGCAATCGGTAATTTTTCCTCTGGCCCAGAGTCAGCTGACCCTAGGGACCAGAGGATAAAGGCGTAGAGACTGTGTGTATCTACAAAAGTGGTTATTTTTACAAGAGACAGGGCTTGCAACGCAAGGGAAGAAAAACGGGAGAAACAAACACAAAATGCATATTAAATGACTTAGCAAATACAAATTCAATCTATTATTATTATTATACTACTCCGATCATAGTTATTCTCAAGTGTCCATATGTTTAACAAACTCTCATTTTCAGATGACATTTTCCTGCCAAAGTGCGAAGTTGATGTAAGTCTCTTTTAAGTCTCCCTTAACTTACCATTATGTACTCTAGTAGCAGGGAATAGTTGAGTGTGCACTTCGATGTACACGATTTCTGACAACACAGGGTTGTTTGTTAGATCATTCTTAACCAAAATCGTTTAGGTACGCAATTTGTGTCGCTAGACATAACCCTACAGGGCAACTTTTCTAAATTACCCTCAGTCGCGTATACGGGATTTTTGTATTTCAGCTCCTGAAGGTCATAGAGACTTCAATTTTAGCTTAAAATTACCGCAATTGCCATATTTATATACAAGTTATGAAGCAATATAAGGTCTCCAGTGCTTTGTTTTATAGATATTGACAAAAAACTGTTTTTTGGCTCAGCGAACCAAAAATGGGACTGAATTTTGGTAACTTGAACTAGGAAAATCGTAGAGACTTGAATTTTAGCTTAAAATGAGCGCAAACATCACATTTATATACAACTTATAAAGCAATATAAGCCATTTAATGCTTATTTGTTAAGATATTGACAAAAATCGGTCATTTTGGCTACACGCGTGAGGAAAAATACCAAATTGGGCAACAACTTTGGTCTTTTTTTGACCAGTTTTGTGCTCAAGTTATTAAAATGTGCTTTGATGTTGTAGATCGGGTGTTTTCTTCCAATATGAGTTTCGGTATAAATCCGGAAGCACCCGGTTCATGGGTGATAGGGGTTAAAAACCCTAAAATGTCAGGTGATGGGCGAGACAATTGTCTGAATTTGGTTATAAAAACACTTGCACTCTTTGCTAGGGTTTGCTTTTTTCTGCTACATCGATCCGATTTCTAACTACTAATCATCCCCCACTACATCATTCTCTTTTAGATACATGATTTCTATAAGTTCTTAAAGGTACATCCGGCATGATGTAAAGTCTATAGCAAAGCATTTTAATGTGGTTTTAACAAGTTGCAAGATATTCAAGTTCACTAATAAAATAAAGATTGTAGGTTATCCTTCTTTTACATAATATTGAGCAATTGTGGGCTTTTTGAGGGGGAGGCTATAAAATGGCCAAATATAACTTTAACGTAAACGACCCAATAATAATATTAAACGTAGAATGAAACTACTTAAAACTTATACAGATTCATGGTATCCTGTTTCAAGACGCTTGCTCCTGATTTTTAGCAACAATATCAACTGACCCCACGACGTTGTAATATAATTGTGGGTAGGCAATCACTTGATCTATAAGTTTTGAACGGTAGTTTTTAAAAATAATTACATTCTACAAACATTATACGCTCCTACTATGCAATTACTAGCCTCTGGATTAAGTCCCAATCATCTGTCCATATTTAAATGGTGTTTCTGGACAGATAGATGGTGTATGATGCCCTCATGCTAATTTCAGCGATCTTCATGCAGGCCTTTTTCTCTTTAGTGTTTACGATCAGGTGCAGTGGTTCATAAAGGTTTGGAGGATGCAGTTGTAAATGCCTCGAACTGCTACTGTCTGGAGCTTGCAATCTCTTCTGTCAATTGCTGATATCTCTTCATATTCTTTTCTCTTGATCAGAAAAGTTCTCTTCATTCAGATGCACATTCTTCGCTTTATCTGAATAGATCACTAGATCTGGTCTCAGTGGTATTACACTAGTTAATGTAATATCTAACAATAAAGTTTATAAGTGCTAAAATTTCGAACTAGCGGACCATATTCGGAGGAGAAATTTGGGACACTTTTTTGCTTGGAAATACTGATTTAATCGAATTTTAACCACAAAAATGACTCCCAATAATATTCTTATGGAGAGTGTGGATAAATATTAAATATTTAAAATAATACAGGTTTGACTATGAAGTTGCGTCAATAATCATGTAAAGAATAATAGATAACCTACAATCTTCGTTTGGTAAACCGATTTGGTATCTTTCCTCACATGTGTAGCCAAAATTACTCGATATGTAAAAGAACGATAACCTACAATCTTTGTTTTATTAGTGAACTTGAATATCTTGCAACTTTTAAGACCACATTAAAATGCTTTGATATAGACTTTACATCATGCCGGATGTACCTTTAAGAACTTATAGAAATCATGTATCTAAAAGAGAATGATGTAGAGGGGGATGATTAGTAGTTAGAAATCGGATCGATGTAGCAGAAAAAAGCAAACCCTAGCAAAGAGTGCAAGTGTTTTTATAACCAAATTCAGACAATTGTCTCGCCCATCGCCTGACATTTTAGGGTTTTTAACCCCTATCACCCATGAACCGGGTGCTTCCGGATTTATACCGAAACCAATAGGCCATATTGGAAGAAAACACCCGATCTACAACATCAAAGCACATTTCAATAACTTGAGCACAAAACTGGTCAAAAAAAGACCAAAGTTGTTGCCCAATTTGGTATTTTTCCTCACGCATGTAGCCAAAATGACCGATTTTTGTCAATATCTTAACAAATAAGCATTAAAGGGCTTATATTGCTTTATAAGTTGTATATAAATGTGATGTTTGCGCTCATTTTAAGCTAAAATTCAAGTCTCTACGATTTTCCTAGTTCAAGTTACCAAAATTCAGTCCCATTTTTGGTTCGCTGAGCCAAAAAGCAGTTTTTTGTCAATATCTATAAAACAAAGCACTGGAGACCTTATGTTGCTTCATAACTTGTATATAAATATGGCCATTGCGGTAATTTTAAGCTGAAATAGAAGTCTCTATGACCTTCAGGAGCTGAAATACAAAAATCCCGTATACGCGACTGAGGGTAATTTAGAAAAGTTGCCCTGTAGGGTTATGTCTAGCGACACGAATTGCGTACCTAAACGATTTTGGTTAAGAATGATCTAACAAACAACCCTGTGTTGTCAGAAATCGTGTACATCGAAGTGCACACTCAACTATTCCCAGCTACTGGAGTATGTGATTATATGAACACAGTTAGCACAATTTCATAGAATTAGATGCAAAATTCTCAATTTTCTGGTTGGTAATGATATGATGAACTTTTGATATAAGGCTGTTATTAAAACCTGGTATTTTTCAGGAGATGGACTATTTGGACGAATCTGAGAGAGAGCTTGAAGCCTTTAAAAGGTAAGTTTTTAAAAATCTTCTCCGCGCACTTCGTTTTTTAGAAGAATCAGTGCTCTTTCCTACTTTTGGTACTAGTTAAGATACTTTTTATGGTGCCGAATTCTTCATTACAATAATTCACATCATACACTGCACTGCACACAACATATTCTCCACATCCAATAAAACACGTGACCTCCAGGTTTTGCATGGACACACAACCCCTGAAGACCCGACAGAAGATCCAACTCAACTGGAAAAATATCAACATCAACGCCAAGAAGCCCATCTGAGCTTGTTCGCCTACAAGTACAATGACTGAACCAACCGTAGAAATTGTAACAGATGAAATTGGTGCCAGACTGTTAATTAATGAGCGTTTTAATTTAAAACTCTGTGCATTTAAAATTTAGATATTGATTGTAGTAGATCTGTCAATCAGCTCTACTTCGAGTTCTACATTCTAAATTTAATATAAATTTTGTATATTTTCTAGTTTTTAGAATTTTATCAAATCGGTTAAACCTATTTGTTATAAAGGGTGTATCAATTCTGTCTCAATTACTGGGGGAAGGGCCTACAAATTCCTTAAAGAGAGAAGCGAGTCCAGTAAACTTGGTAAAATAAAACAGCTCTCAGCTCTGTAAATGGTAAACTGTAAACAAAGAGATGTTGCGCACGCACTGGTGATCCTTGATCAACTTGCTACACGTCGCGTATCCCTTTAGAGGGGTATATGATATCATTAGCAGCGCGTGTTCCGTAAGAGGTCTAACCTTATCTAGCTTTACAGAGAGAGCGGTTACCCAGCTCCCTTGCTCGCTTCTGCGTGCTATTAGTCTAACTCACTCTACACTATAAGCCGAAGCGTGATATATTAATAAGCAGGACCGCTCTTTTGTTATATATAATAAACGTAGGATCTGTGTTATGATAATTGAAATTCGTGGTGTACGTAGTATAGGCGCCTCCGTGCTCCAAGATCAACCTCTCATTGCATTAACATAATAGCTTGAGTTTAAACGCTGATTCCGAATCACCCTCCATGACGTAGAGGGACTTTGTTTCGCTGGTTTTATTATAATTAGAAACTTGACCATGGTTCTAGCCCTGTTATATAACGGACTAGCTCTGCGCGCGCTACTAATTTACCTCTTGCCTCGGGCTAATAGTTCGAGAAGAAAGCGGCGCGCGCTACTTCGAAGAAATTTAGACGAGTAACATCCGTCAACGCTCAGCCTATCTGCTATCATTGCGCCGAATTTATATTTCATTTATGAACAATATAGCAATTGTTGTTGTATCGCGATGCGTTACTGTGCCGCGCCGCGCACTCAATGAGGTTTCTCACAGATCGGCAAGATGCACTACTGTGCCGCAAGATGAATTGACATCGTCAATTAAAGCTTGTTGATTCACGATGTCAATGCTTCGCATAGCTCGCCGATCTGCATATGTGGTTGCGAGAAAATGCGCGGCGCGACCCAGTAGTGCATCGCGCTACAAAATCGTTGTGAACACAAACAAGAATTTGTGCGGCCCGTTGAAGCGGCAAAGTCAAAAGTCTTCCAACATCAGGGCCTTTTCACATTAATTTAAAAACTAATTGCATGAGATGAGCGATTTAGCGAAAGAAAAATAAAAGATTAAAATATAAATTTAGAGCCAGTTAATTTAATTGTCATTTGGTTACTTTTACTATTGACGGATGTTTTTTATTTTATTTGAAAGTTCAATTAATTAACATAAATATAAATCAAGCGTTACATTTCAGCCATGCCACATGCAAAATTACAATGCCATATTTAGTTGATTCACGATGTCAATCCTTCGCAGATCGGTGAGGCACAGTGGTGCATCTCGCCGATCTACCGAAGGATTGATGCATAACAACAAGACACGCGCTAAAGACGCGCATTTTCTGAGTGATATTAACGATAGCTTTAAATTCACTGATGTCATTATTATTCAGCGTGTCCGGTAATAGTTTAAAAATCAGAAGGAGAAAACACATGTATAAATTACTAAAAAAGGAGTATTACTTTACAGGATTGAATTTAAATATAGTCATAATAGATAAGAGAGGAATTTGTTTCCCTTTGAATCAATCGAACTAGATGAATTGTTGTAAATACTGAGATCAAACTATCAATCTACAGGCTATCGTCAAACATGTTGAAAGGCGTCATCTTCAGTGACATAATAGATAAGAGTTTATTAACTATCATGCCAACTTTAGAGACGGTAACCACATTAAACTAAAGTTTTCCCAATCAAAATAAAGGGTTTATGCAAAATAAAAGGTCTATGCACTAGACTGAGAGACAATTAACCTTATGCAATGCAGGTTAGTATAACTATAATATCGGACTGAGTTGAAATTTCTGAGAGCATGATACCCCAAAATAAATATATGCCTGTGTCTGGCAATACCGTTCAGATGGCTTCCGAACTTGTGCGGATAAGATAATATAACAAATACAAATAAACTATATAATAACAATCTGAAAATTAATGTATCAGTACAGATCTTATACTCGAAATCAGGCACTTTCAAAACATTTCTCTTAAATTATCTTTCTTAACACCGTTCAATTGTAACTTTAAATTAAAATATTATGATGATCCGGACGATGATAAATATTAAATGGTAATCGATCATCGGCAGATGGATAATCGTTAATTATAGGTGTGCATAATTATTATTACAACTGATTATATTTATGGATTTCGGCCTGTCGATGCTGGAAGCTGATCAGCTAATCGTTAATCGTTACCATGTGACAAGAATAGTATGATGAACCTCCCAATCAGTATCTATGTATCAAAAGAAAATATTGATATAATTCAAATCGTCGGGAGCCCTTTTGAAACATCTCGAAGTTAGAGTGCAGAGTGCATGATTACTGATTATCAGCACGATTGGGTGAAACAAAGACGAAACCGTGTGTTGATTAGAATTAAAAGAGGAAGATATGTAGTGATAAATTGTGCACTCTTGCATTTAAGTTTTAATTGTTAGACTTGTTCGATGTAGGGCCTTTAATTTAACCTAATACTAATGCAGTTACTTAATACTTGGTAAGTCTAGGGAAAACAGGTGCTAGTTGTCGGAAATGAAATGGAGTCTGTTCCTGATCGAAGTTACATGATGCTGATAGATTTGATGCAGCTCAGCACTCAGCAGCCACTGTCTTCAAATAGAGTGTTCCAGTTCTGCAGTCTCAAATTTTTTCGCCCAGCTTTTCTTTTCATCGTGGTTATAGAAGACAGACCTGAAGAAATACTAGTATAATGATAATTATATAGGTAACATGTCCAGAATGAGTAAAATTGTATTATCGGCAAATTTACTTATGTGAAAACTCCCAACAGGGTGGCGCTGGCCCAGAAGTAACTGCACACAAGCAACCCTTTAATGATCACGCACGTAATTTGTGTGAAAATATGTAACTCATTTAACGAAGTCAGTGAAAAGAACCTACTTTATTTACCAATGGCGATTTTTTGCTTGTGATGAAGTAGTCCTCGCAAATGTGAGATATGTATGTAGTTTGTTTTTAAAAGTAGGATTGTAGTCATAGTGGAAACTTTTCCCGTGCCATCTCTGCTGCTGAGTCATCCCAAGACTCTCCTAACCCGTTGAAGGAGGACCAACTCCATGTCTCAGAGTATGGTTTGAAAAAACTTTGTTTGAATATTAAACTTGGCCTATACCGTGCCTTTGGTATGAGATCCCCTAGAAAGCAGCCCCCTACAGAGCGTTAGATTAACCCTAAAATTCAAGAAAAAACAAGTATCACGAGATCAAGTCGCTGTGATGTCCTGGAACATCCAGGACAGCACAGGAGACGGGTCTAACAAATTTGAAAATAGCGAATTTTTGTCAATCCTCAAACAAGCTAACATTCTTTGTCTCCAAGAAACAAAGAAGCAAGTTAAGATTGAAGGATACCTCTCTTTTAATAGCAACCGCAAAAATTCACGCTCAGGAGGGGTCTGCATTCTTGCTGAAAATGGCCTAAGAAAAGGTGTCTCTAGTGTGCTTTGTAATGAATCTGATGACATTATTGTTGCTAAACTGGACAAGAACTTTTTTAAACTTGATTTTGACCTATTTTTGGTATGTTATTATATTAGCCCTGCATACTCGTCCTATGTCAAGAAGAATCCAGATTATACTGCTAATACCTTCTCTGCTCTTGACTCTATCTGTATCAGACTACGTCAAAAGGGAGAAGTTATTATGTGTGGCGATGCAAATGCAAGAACTGGAAAACTCCCAGACTATATCCTTTCCTGTAATGCACCTGCCATCCATGACATCTATAACGACATTGGACTCGAGCACGACATAGAAGAACCAAGAAATAATTCTGACCTTACAATATCTGAACCCCACTGCCAACACTTTCTTGACATGGTTATCAATAACCAACTCAAAATTCTTAATGGTCGTACCCTTGGGGACACCACTGGAAAAATGACCTGTCACAAATACAATGGAAGCAGTGTGGTTGACTATTTTGTAATCACCTCATGGGCAAGAGATCATGTAAACTCTCTCCAAGTAAAAGAGTTTACATCATACTCTGATCATTGTCCATTAGTCTTGAAACTCACTACATTTGAACCATTTGTCGCAAACTTCCAGCTCCCAGACTTTTCTAACTTTCCTTGTGGCTATAAGTGGGATAGCAACACCTCCCATTCACTATTTAAAAAAGCCCTTACCTCGCCCGAAATTATCAACAATCTGGAAAGCATTGTGACAAATGAATTTAGCAGTACTCTGGAGGGCAATCACGAACTGAACGATGCAGTCATAAAATGTCTCCACAGTGCTGCTGATATAGCCTTAAAAGTGAAAAAGCCTCCCAAAAATTCTGCCCGTAAGAAATGGTTCGACCCACAAGTCAACTCCTCACGGCGGAACCTAAATAGGCTAGCAAACCGGCTTGGTAGTAAGCACTGTAACTGTATCCTCAGACGAGAATACTTTAAGCAACGCAACAAGCATAGCAATTTTGTAAACAGTAAGAAAGTAGCTTTCCTTAAGAAGTTAAATGAAGCTATAGAAGAAGGTCACATACTCGACTGGAAAAAATTTAAACGGCTTAAACAAGAACATGACACTAGCCCCTTACTTGACAAATTTGATTTAGCTAGCTTCCATGACTTCTTTGCATCCCTTTATAAAAAACCAGACCAGGAGCCAGATCTCACTCACCACAATCACAAACATTACCCTGAACCACCAGATCTGGATATCCTAAATAAGCTCATGTCAGAATCTGAAGTGACCTCTGCCATCAAAAATCTCAAAAAAGGTAAAAGTTGCTCAAACGACTTGATATCCAACGAGATGCTTCAGAGCGTAACTCCGCTTTGTCTCAAAGCCATCCTCAAAAACTTCAACCACTCACTGGTCTCTGGTTACTATCCATGGCACACCAGCATCATTACTCCTATTTACAAGTCTGGCAACCCTTTCAGCCCGGACAACTACAGAGCAATAGCTGTTGGTAGCTGTATGGGTAAACTATTTTCTAGCATCTTACTTGAGCGTCTCCTGCACTTCAAAAAGCTCTACTGCCCTGACCCAAAAGAACAACTAGGGTTCTCTAAGGGTGCTCAAACAAATGACCACGTTTTTACCCTTAAGACAGTCATTGACAAATATACCAAGGTTAAGAAAGCTCGCCTCTATGCATGCTTTGTTGATCTAAGAAAGGCCTTTGACACTGTATGTAGGGACCTCCTTCTGCACAAAATCACATGCCTTGGAATAACTGGAAACTTCTTCAATTGCCTAAGTGATATGTATAGAAACTCAATAGCTCATATAAAAATCTCCAAACTCTTGTCCCCTAATATTGACATTGGAAAAGGAACAGAGCAGGGACACCCCCTATCACCGGACCTTTTTAAAATCTATATCAACGACTTGTCATCTCTCCTGAAATCTGTTGGTGATTATCCTATTCTAGCTGACGTCCTAATATCACATCTGCTCTGGGCTGACGATCTTGTCCTACTTGCCCTAAGTCCCAAGGCCTTGCAAGACAATATAAACATCCTATTCGACTTCTGTAACTCTATGGGCCTTGAAGTAAACATTAAAAAAACCAAGATTCTCATATTCTGCCCTCCTAAAAGAAAACAATCCTATGAAACATTCATTTTGGGAGGCCAGCCCATCCAACACACCGAAAAATACTGCTATCTTGGCATTATATTCCACAGAAATGGATCTTTTACAGCAGCAAATACTGAACTGAGGGCCAAGGCTCTCCGTGCTCTCTATGGCCTCAAAGGCAATATCGTCAAAGATGCCCTCTCTCACCATTCCCTAAACATTCTATTTGACTCTCTAATAAAACCGATACTGCTCTATGGCTGCCAAATCTTATGTCCTCACTCAAAAACCATGAGATACCTCTCCAAAACAGATAGCAAAGCCAACCCCCAGCATACTCTCAGGTACATCTCACAAGACCATTATGAAAGATTCCACCTTAAGTTTATCAAGTGGTCCTTGTCTGTCCATTCAAAAGCATCAAATATAGGCTGCTGGGGCGAAAGTGGGCGCCACCCCCTCTTCTTTGAAGCCTGCAAACTTGCAATAGATTTCTATAGTCGTCTTGAAAGCACTGAAAATGAACTTCTCTCCGCTGCATTTCACGAGCAGATTATGCTGGGCCTTCCTTGGTACACCAACATCTCTAATCTTCTCACCAAATATAACTTCCCCCACTCATCCTCTTCAAAATCCAAGCTCTCTACCCAAATCAGTCACATGAGGGAAGAATTTGTGGATACCTGGAAATCTGCCAAGGCATCCTCACCTAAATTAGAATTCTACAATCAAATTAAACATGATTTTGAACCAGAAACATACTTAGGAGTGGTTAAGATCCCCGATGCTCGGAAAAGCTTAACAAGGTTTCGTATTAGCTGCCACAATCTTTACATTGAGAGGGGCCGTTACGAAACCCCCCTAGTACCAAGAGAACATCGATGGTGCACTTTTTGCTTTCTCAGCAAGGGGCTTAAGCCTATTGAGGACGAAATTCATGTTCTAACTGACTGTTTACTCTACTCCTCAGTTAGAGAAAAATTTAACTTCCATCCCAAAAATATTACTGACCTAGCCGGTTTGCTATCCGATAAAACACTAGACCCTACAAAATTTAATGCCACAGCAAGAGCAATCCATTCAATTCTCTCTGTGAACGAACATTTTACAGCCTACTATAAGAGCCCAGATTTCCACTCAAATACTGGCCAATGCATAATGCTATAGGACCTCAAAAATAGTATTATAAAACATTTCTATTTTATCCCTACACATTTGTAAATAACTAGAATTGTGTAACCTTAAATTATTTCAGAATTATAACTATTGTGAATTCAATAAAATAATTATCACTTTTGTATCCTTGTATCCTTGTATCCTTGTATCCTAGTCGATGTATAGCGACGGTAGTTTACCAGCAGCTCCCTGTACAAATAGAAATGTGGTTTTTATATAATATTACTAGTTAAATTATTGAGTACAATGCAGGAATAAAAAAATGTGTCTTAAATGTTTTATATTAAATGTGTTATAATTATATTAACCACCTTATATTCGTATAATATGTACTCATAAACAATAATAGTCCCAATTGTTTTTAATTGCCTATAATTTAAACCTTCTTATTAAATAATTTAGATGACTGTGTCTGATCTAAAATTGCACGAGAAATAGATAAAATTAGGTCTCAGACAGAACTCGACCGGGATACCGGCGCAGCCGGAATACCGGCTGGTATTTGGCGATTTTGTACCGGTATACTGGTACCGGCCGGGATTTTGGTTTTAGCCGGGATTTTTCCAAAATAAATTCAGTTTTTCTCAACGTTAATTTGAGTCCAAAATTAACAAATCTGTGAACATTTTCCTAAAACATTTTGATGAAATCATTGAACAATGGAGACTGGAGTCAATCTATATTTAACATAATCATGGGTGTACGAATTATGGACTTCTTCATAAGTCTTTCTGACTTATGACTTAATTATTGTGACTAAGTGTCACGGCTCACGGTCTTGTGTTACCGAGGGACAAGTAAAACAGAGTTCTCCGGGTAAAGACAGCATTAATAAATGCTATTCAGTATTCATCCTATTCAATTATTCAGGTAAGGTGATGTAAACTGTAAAGTGATAAGCTCCAACGTCAAACACCATGTTCAATTAAATAAGTTTAAGTAACCAATACCAGATCACAGGATTTTTATAGTTACGGAGACTGTTGGAAACGATGCAAACCAGGATCGGACTCCTATCAGAAATAGTCGACCACGGTCCAGCCTCCCTCAAACTCAAATGCCCTACCACTACCCCAGACCACATCCACCTCTTCAGCCAGGAACAGCGCTCCCACTATACCACTACCAGCAGTTCCTACCGCCTCAGAGGATACACTGCACGTGCCCGTTATTCCTCATGCCTCGTCTTAAATGTCCAGTCCATGAATCCTAGTGCATCAAGTGCGAGTAGATGGGAAGTGCCAAAAATCTCAGCTCTTATTCAGGAGAAATCCAAAAACCACTCGTTACCGTTTATTGCACTTACGGAAACGTGGCTCAAGTCCTACATGTCAGACAAATACAAAATGTGCATCACCTCTTTCTCCTGCTGAGCAGAACCTCCCCCTTAAAAGTAAACAAATCTGCATCGCCTCCCAACGACAATCCAGATATATTAAGCAGCAGAGACAATCATTTAAGGAGACTGTGATATCTATCAGGATCATGATTATACTGCCGTGAGAACTCAGCACTTCAGGATGAATCATATAATATTTGGTTTTCTCGATTTCATTCATATTTAGACAGAAGTCCGTGTAGATAATTGGTTATAGAATAATTGGATATAATTTTATGCGAAGTTGTGTCTGCGAAAATATACGTGTGAACTGGTCATCCCGCAAATGCTGAAAAAGTAGATGTTACCTATCATAAAATAACCGCTCGCACCGTACACGACATCGAGTTGTGACTGCGTTTACAAATTCCTTATCATAATGATTTGTTGCCATGGCAACCGAACTCCATCGGAAGATCGGCCTGTAAGGTATAATCATGATAATACACAGTATCAAAACATTGCCATATCATAGCAATTAGCAACATTCCAGAGATTAGATTATGTGTGTGTAAGAAAATGTATGTTATAGTATTATACAGTCTGCTAGAACATTCCGTTTACACATGGTAAAATAATAATCATGGTGCCTGGTGGCCGATAACAACTTGTTTAATTTATCTCCGAATTACACACAAATTTCTGAACGTTTCGTAGACTTAAATCAATTACAGAGGGTGTGGCTATTGGCCAGCCCCTCTATTTCACTATTATGGTTGAAACTATAAGAATACAGATTATATTATTACAGTGATTTTACAAAAGTCGAAACAGTAAACACCAATTTGTAGGATAGTTTAAATCACACCAAAATTGGTCCCAGAATGCAATGAAATCTGATGGCGTCTTTTCAGTGAAAAAGAGGCCACACCCTCTGTAATTGATTAAAGTTTACGAAACCTTTAGAAAATGAGTTATATAACTTGCAACTTAAACTAGGATAAATTGAGTATTTATACTCAATTTATCTTAGTTGCATGAGTAATATATATATACTCTCATTTTTTCAGAGCAAACGTAATTTAAATGGCCAAACACAATTCAATAAAATTTGGCTCGATCCGATTATCCAAACTATCAAATAAATGCGAAAATGAACCTTCTTTTGAAAAAAATGAACACAAATATGTTTCGATTTGACAAATTTCTCGAACCAGTGGTGGTAGTAAGCAGGAGGTGACCGGGACATGATTTCAGGCCTGACCGGGACCGGGACCGGGACCGGGATACAAAATGTGACTTGACCGGGACCGGGACCGGGACCGGGACTGAGATTATCAATTTACCGGGACCGGGACCGGGACCAATAATTTCTGGGATTTCTATCTTACCGGGACCGGGACCGGGACCGGGACCAACAATCCAATTTTACCGGGATGACCGGGATGACCGGGACCAAAACTGGTATTCTCATATTGAAAGCTGCAACTTTCATTTACATTATAATTGAACAATTTGAATAAGTAATAACTAGAATATTAAATTAGAAAAAACTAGTAAAAACCCGTCAATATGGGGCATGGGCCTAATGTACTACACCAATAATGTTCATGTACTGATTACTCAAGTTCACCCTCATTCCTCATTCCTCAATCAATGATCCCTCAAATTATTCAACAGTTTCATTCTCCAATTCCAATTGACAATTGGGCGTAGCCCGAGTTGAAAACTTGATGTTACTTTGCACTTATGAGTTATGTAACGATATTAGTTACCTAAACTTGTTTAGCAATTTTAAACATTGTTTTATTTGGCTCAGAGGTTGTTTAAAGATGAAATTCACAATGAATGAAAGTAAAAACTTAAAATCACAGTGAATGAAATTATGTAAAAGATCCCGGTCAAAATCCCCGCTAATTTGAGTGATTGACCGGGACCGGGACCAAGAATCCTGAATTAACCGGGACCGGGACCGGGATCATAAATCAGCATTTGACCGGGACCGGGACCGCGATGAAAAATGTGACTTGACCCGGTTCCGGGAATCCCGGTCACCTCCTGAGTAGTAAGTCATACCAGAACAAATTATTTCAATTGGGCACTCAGTGACTGAGCTATTAAGGCCAACGTTTGCACACTGACTTTTGGCCCACCCTGTATATTTATAATATACGGCTGGAAAAAATGTAACTGGATATCTGCCACAATGCTGCTATTATTAAGGTTAAAGTAACATTTAGCACATAAAGAAGTCTGGTTTGCTAGGTTTTAATTGGTCGTATAATAACAAATAAAAATGAGTTAAGACTACAAAAACGGTCAATAGAACCTAATTATAATACCTGTATCGAGAACTCGACTTGAATGCACTGATAGCATTGGTACTAACATTCTATCAAATTATGTCATATCTTGAGACTTGATAGCTGCCTGAAACAGTTTTGAGTCAACATTATCGTGATATTCTAGAAATTGAAACCAATTCTCAACTTTAAAAAAGCAGATTTCAATAAATGCCATAGAATTAAATTCTACCTTTTTAAATTCTAAGAATTTGTTGATTTATTAAAATTCTGTCTCAATTAATATATAAGGGTACATGCAATGTAGTTCGACACGCACTGTAGACTCACTTATTGGGTTCGTGCTAGATGCTGTGTACGCCACCCTCTTAACCCCCTCTATGGTGAAGATGAGGATGGTAAGTGCAAGTATAGTAGTGTGAGGAGAGGATGGGTATCATTTAGCACATTTTTGCTGTAGGTGTAAAGTAGCTCTTAGTCAAGGAGTATATAAATGACTGCACGACAAGGTTCTGCAACAGATCTCTGAACATGTTATCTTGTGAGCGCCGAGTGAACACTTATAAGAACAAGGCCAGCGATGAAAGACAGTATCATTGCTGGGAGGAAAAAAGCAGGTACAGACGACCGAAAGGAGTCGTGGTTTGGGATCCTGAGTGGGTCTCGATATTGGATAGTGCTCTTATATATCGGACCTTATGATATTCTCAAGGTCACCAAGACGGCACAGTCTTATGGCGGGAGGTAACGGTACCATCTAAAGAACAGATTGCTGAATCATACAAGTAAAAACTCTACCGGTACAGCAGTCTTACAGCAGACTGAGATTCAAGCGAAAGAATTGTGCTGTTATAATTATGCGGTTAAAGTTCTAGCACCGGGAGTGGTTGTTCACGGTTTGGAAAGAGCTGAGTAGGCTAGTACGGGATAGAAGGGAAGAAGCAGCTCACTGTTCCAGATGGATCTACTTCTTATCAAGGAAGAAGGAGTGGTAGGTATAGTAAGGAAGATTGGAGCCTGAGAGTTAACTTAACATCTAGAGGTACCACAAACTTTATCTCGTCGCCAATTGCGAGCTTTAACGGGTTTCCTCAAGTGACTCGATGGTTTAATTGTGACAAATCATGATACGAACTTTGATGAACCCATAATAGTATAGTGCAATAATACTATGATAGTATTCTCATAAGTTCTACCCTTGCAACCGAGTACAATGTACATACTAAGTGATATCAAGCTGCAATCTAAAATTTATTAATTGAATCTCAAAATAACTTCAAATCTTACGTACCTAACAATTGCGACATCGTTTGTCGTTGGAAGTGAGAAATAAAATACATTAAATTTTAATCCAATTCTGCGAGAGAAGATTTGCCCAGACAGCTGACAAGAATGTATTACCATACTTCCTGTAAATGTGGTAGTTATTAGGTCATATCAAACTTGGAAATTATGTCAAAGTTTTTCTCAGTCTCTGGTGTCAATCACCAGTAGAGTGCCCAGCCGCACCAAAACAACCTGCGATTTTTACGTGGGAAACATCGTATAATACACATGCTATACACTCTAGTTTCATAGCAGCTACTGATATCATGCGGCAGTATTAATAAGCATACAAATTCAGCGCAAAAAATTGTGAAGACGACACAAATTCATGCGGGATGTTAATAAATGTGTCCATGTTGAACTCAAACTCCGACAGAATAATATATCAAATCGGATATATTATTATTAATCAAATGGTATCTGCTCATGTTCCGTCTATATAAACTACAAAACTTAATAAATTAGTGAAGTTCTGAAACAAAGATCACGACTAGGTTTTATCAAAATTGAAAAGAAAACCGATCGAAGTGCACTAGAGAGACAGTTTAAGTTTAAAGGGTCATCATTACTAAAATCTCTTCCTAGCTCCTAGCAATCAAGTTGTTAATCCTAGTTTTACACCTAAACAAGTACAAAATTACAGCATTACAATTTGAAATTTTTCGATATCCAGCTCAACATAAAACTTCGATACCAATAATGGGTACATACCGATGATCGGTGTTCGTAAATATTTGATTATTTATAGTATTGAACTTGAAGATTAAAATCTTCCTAATTATGTAAGAATAACAAAAGGAAACACGTACTAGTGTGCTGTTACGAAAAACAACTATTTAATAAAATAAATGAACGGCATTCGAATACAAAATTAAAAATGCAGATACCAACGTAATCGACAGACAAACTCAATAAATGAAGATTTCGTCGTGAAACGAGCTATATATACAGCTATAACGTAGCGCTCGACTCCAGTCTGAACCAAAATTAAGTCGCGTTCGTAGGAAATTGACCACCAGCTGCTGGTGGTTCGAATGTTGGTTTGCACACTACTGTGGTTGCGAGAAGCATTATTTGATGCGCGCGCGACCCAGTAGTGCATCGCGCTACAACATATTTAGCTATATACTAATTGATAAATGGTACTGTAATATTGAATATAAGTTGCTTAATGTTTGGCCGGATGAAAACTAACTAAAAGAAAAAAATAATCTTGATTACATAATAATTAATTCGGCTGAACTAACACATAGCAAAAGCCACAATAACGTTGGGCCGTCAAAAATAGTCGTCAAAATTTCTTTGAAGTAGCGCGCCGCTTTCTTCTCGAAATGGCCCGATGGCAAGTGCTACGAAGTAGTGCGCGCCGGGCCAGACCATTAACAATGGTCAACTTTTACTACATGACAAAGGGTTTTTATGAAATTTACTCAGATTTTATTGAATTTTTGAGGGGTTTTTACTCAGATTTTATTTTTAATTTATGAATTTAGTAATTCATTAATCGAACCTTTGTCATACGTTGTATGACCCGCCGCGCACGAAGTGCGCGGCTCCCCCTGTAGCGTCGAAGACGCTACATAGTGAAACGACCGTGGGGGTCGCAACGTGATACAATAGAACCTCATGCTTAGACGATTACCATTAATAAATTTAGTTTTATGTATTGTTTGAATGAATTTGATTCACGATGTCAATCCTTCGCAGCTCGGTGAGGCACAGTGGTGCATCTTGCCGATCTACCGTGTGGTTGCGAGAAGCATTATTTGATGCGCGCGCGACCCAGTAGTGCATCGCGCTACAAGAATGAATTTTCCACTCTTTATTTCGAAAGGGATAGGTGTTTTAATGAAAAATCATCCGATTCGGCAGCAAAACTTTACATATACTGGTCAACTTAACATTTGCATTTGGTCGGTATATATACTAAATGTTCAGGACACAAAAACAAAATCTCCAGAGGCGCCAAAATAGTTCCAACTTAAAAAGTATGATGATATGAAAATATAAATATTATAGGCTACAATGAGCATTTTTACTGGGCCGCGCTCAGCCTGTCATTCCGCCTAATCTCTATTATGTTAATGAACATAATAACCTGGGGTCGCCAGGTAATGAGCATTTTAGTAACAAATAGTATGATAGATCTGAAATTTAAAAAATAAAATCCCTAAAAATATTTACACCCCAAGTTAAAAATATAAATACTTTATTTTTAAAACAGTATCAAATAAGGTGGTTGATCAGGCACTTGTGTCATTACGACGACGTCGTTATATCAAGTCAAAATTTGATTCACGATGTCAATCCTTCGCAGCTCGGTGAGGCACAGTGGTGCATCTCGCCGATCTACCGAAGGTGGTTGCGAGTTGTCATACGTTGTATGACCCGCCGCGCACGAAGTGCGCGGCTCCCCCTGTAGCGTCGAAGACGCTACAGGGTGAAACGACCGTGGTGAAACGACCGGCCGTGGGGGTCGCAACGTGATACAAGTTGCGAGAAGCATTATTTGATGCGCGCGCGACCCAGTAGTGCATCGCGCTACAAGTCAAAATATTCCCCAAAATAATTAAAAGACGATTCCCGATCGAAAACGTTTTGGTAGAAAAAGTTTCTCAAGTTACATAAATATCATTGGAAATGCAATTTTATGGATAGAATCAATAAATAAAGCTCACAAGTAAATCCCAAAACAAAGTAACACACCCAACAATGGTTGAAATGTGATACATCCAAGCAGTCTAGGTCGACAATAATATCATGAGCTAATCTAAAACTAGCTCCAATGTTCATGTTACCAGACAGGTTCTACCAATCCAAAGAGTTAAGTAGGTTTCCATTCAGTCAGTAGTAAACAGTGTCTAGCACTGGTCGTCCTAAGAGGGACTCCCCATTTATTACAGGCCTGGGTAAGGCCGCGTACATACCAATGGATAGAGCATTGGCCGTCTAATATAGCTATAATATAGTCCCTATATATAGGGACTAGACTCCCCAGCTAGGCGTGGGTGGGCCCTGTAGAAATACATATCTTCCTTCTTAGCTTGAGGTCATCATTGTTCACACATTCACTGCAGATTTGGATGAATTTTGGATCTCTGGAGCAGTTTAGGATCGCCAAGTGTGGAGTACCCAGATCTTCCAGACTGGAGACCTCGTTACGAACATTGAGAAGATATGAGGCTTGGTCCCTAAGGTCTTCGTCAACATGACCACAGCTAGTCAGTATATGAATTGCAGTTTGTTCTTCATGACCACAGGAGCAATAGGGAGAAGGCCATTTCAGTCTGTCAAGGATATATAGAAATGAGTTCAGAAGATTGTTTTTGTAAAACAAACTCATAACTAGAACCTCAGTTTCTCTGCTAGTATAGTGAGGGAACTTCAGGGGGGGGGGGGGGGGGGGGGGGGGTGGTAGACACCATGGGAATTTGAGACCAGCCCTCCATTTGTAACTGGTTCTTAATAGATTCCTGCCATGCGAATTCAGTGAATTGTTTGATAGAGGCCTTGGTGTAATTGCAGGCTTTCCTAGAGAGCTCGAACAATTTCGAGGCATCATTCAGTCCAATTATTTTTGAATCACCTGGCAGGACAGAGTCAGCATATAATACTTTCACCTTCCATTTTAGAAATTCCAGCACATCCCGCATCTGGCCCAGAATTTTTGTGTTTCCGGATTCTATCTCTCTGCATATGAAGTCAATTCTCAGTAGATCGTAAAGTAGAAAGTAAAGCAATTCAAATAAAATATAAATTGTATTGGTTTATTTATTTATTTTTTTTTTTTTTTATTTATTTTAGTAGGGTGAGAATCCCTGCCACGTTTTTGGTCAGTTTCGCCGGGGCTCATGTCTTTCCTCGAGGGAGCATTAGTGTCTACAGAAAAACTGACAAATCCTAGCGAAGTCCAATCCGAACCACATCTTCCATCAGAGGTGGTGCTGGGTCAGCTGGTTACTGAACGGATTGGCCTGGAGAATGGCATAGTCCTGTTACTCTCAAGTTAACCATAGAGGGGGACAGGCGCTGTTCGCTCACGGCTGGTTCTTGGAGCCAACACCCTCAGCCCCACATAAGTGGGAGCACTGTCGGTGGTGGCTCACCCAGATAACGGACAGTGTCTCTCCTTCTTTCTTCTTGGACTTGCATTGTTGCTGGCGAGTCAGCCAGTAGCAATGCAGCATCTCACTCACTCAATCACCTCGTCAATTCGGTCCTTTTTTTCATTTGCATTACTTTCGCTCATTCTCCTGTCATAATGCATTCTCTGCTACCATAATGCCTTTCTTACCACGGTGTAACGCATGTTACACCTTGCGTCTTTCTCTAACACCATCATCATTTCAGCAACCTTGGAATTTCAACCCTACACAGGTACACAGCACTATGGATATCCACTCTCCACTCTACGGCGAACACAAAGCTAGAGATCTAATTAGGATTCGAGTACCCCGGCTACCCTTGTGACATACATACGTGGAAACCAGTTTAAGCAGCAGTACATCGACACAATGGATCAGCACTACGAAATCTGATATCTGCATCATACTACTCCGATCCAGAAATCTTCGCTAAACCATCACATGAGATGAATAACTACAAGTTGGACTCCACATAACATTATTCCTTGTTCTGATCAGTCAATAAATGTAATCTGCATCAATTTTCCAATAATTACATCTTCTTACTAGTTTATTTTCCCTCTCAGGGCTGGAACGCAATGTTACAGCCCACTTTATAAATTACTAACTCGAGTTATTCCAGATTGACGACTTGACACAGATATTCATCAAACAACCTAAATAAAGGACTCCCACTCTCCAAACCAGTAGAGATCCAATCACTGCCTCCAGGGTACCCCTTCATCCGGTATTAGCAGTTCCTCCACCACCACCAGGTTAGAACACTCCCACTAATCACCCCTAAAAAACGAACCTACCGCCTTGCTCCACCAAACACAACTTCAATCAAATCCAGTTACTCAAACCGGTTAAATCCGTCCTTCAAATTTCCCGCATTAAACGTAACGCGCGAACGCCATACAACTCAAGGACGTAGCAACCTAATAGTCGTCATTTTTTAAACAGAAAATTTAGTGCGCGCGCGAGCCTGCGCGCGCGCGAGCTTACGACTAATCCACGAGATTACGACAAATCCACATAATTGAAACGTTCCATCACTCCAGGTTGATCTGATTAGTAAACTCAAGGAAGATGATACCAGATCAGTCCCGAACTTCGCCTCAGCATCATACTCTGCCTAGTGTCGATAAAGAGGATTCACAAACAATCGAGATTCACTTACAAATATTTGCTATTACTTTTTACAATTGCAGTTATATTCGTTGTTTTAATTATCTCCATCAACCTTGAATCTGTCACTGCCCATACTACATTCCCAAAATTATCTTAGCGCTCTTCCATCGTCAAACCCCACTAGTTCACTATATACGCCAACCAATAAACCTCAATTAGGATGGTTTTTGCAACACATTCTACAAGCTTAGAACTTATAAAGTAACAGCACCATCATAACCCACACATTACCTTCGCACAAATCAGCTATTCCCCATTCACTCACGAGCGTCGACATATCTCCGCATGTACATCTGTAAACTGGAGCGGCCCCCCGCGATGCGGAGCAGGTGAGCTACCTGGTTCGGGCTACTTCACTTATCAGAGTACGCTAGCTCCACAATACACTCGCTTCAAGCCCTCAGATTTGCACGCATCCATCACCTTCACAGGGCCGGCTGCCCACATCCTGTAAAATCCTGATTCTATATGCTCGCGGGGTCTATTACCTGTTTGAGCTTTATTATTACGCGCGCGTGCCCAGTGTACAGCTCACCGGCTTGCGCTGTCCTCTTGGCATTGTTGTCGCCTTTATGACCTTCAAATCTAAAAGTAGGTTGAGGGCACTACATGGGGTCTAGCGCTGCCCCGTGTCAAAATACATACATACATACATACATTGGTTTATTTATTTTTGAGGGTGTCTAACCTTACATAATAGCTAGACAATTACCATTGTTGAAATTACCTGTTTATTTTTGACAGTTAAACACTCTAAACAGAACGTAATTACCACAAAGCCGATCAATATCATTGCACTTGCACATGCTCATTCAAACACCGTTGCTATGCAACCTTTTGATTTTTTACCTAACTTCCTATTTCTCATCTGATTTGCACGTGGGTGGTCGTACATATATTCTACATTATACAAAAAACAATTCTTTGAATTATAATAATGACTAGAAAGCCCGTGGTCACAGGGATGAAGCTAATAGTATTCTTGGGTAGTCAGTTTTTATAGCACCAACAAATGTCCATTAACCGAAGATATAGCCAATTGAAATAGAGCTGGCACTGAACACCACCTAATAACAAAAAAAACGATCAAAATGCCCCTTTCAAATCCTTGCACATGCACTTTTAACACCGTTACCATGGTTATTATGCAACTTCTTATTTTTCATCTAAATTGCACGTGGGCGGTCGTACAGCATACAGCATAAATAATTTTCTGAATTATAAGTAAGATTATATTTCCAAATTATTGAATCCAAAAAAATTCAAATTATTGAATTTGTGTTGCAAAATTTTAGATTTGAAATTTTGAATAACCCCCATTAGGTTTTCATGCAAGTGCGTGAATAAATAGATACAGATGGCAGAGAAAAAGGTTACTCCAGACCTGGAAAAGAATGGAACTGTAATTGAAAATGGTGTCAGCAATGATACAGCCATCGACTTGAGGTAATAATTTCCTAGTTGAAGAAGGTGAATTAACTTACCTCACATTTTAATATCTGTGGAACTATAATACCTAAGCTATTTCTTCAGTCTTAGATCGTTGACTGTAAAAGATTTTGACTGCACAAATGTTATTTTCCAAAATTTATAACTGGCTCATTCCCCTAGGTTTTCCAAGTCTTGTCATGTGAGTGTAAGAAAGTGGCATTTAACTTCATTTACACAACATAAAATATCTGGTCCGAGTAAGTAATGTTTCGGTGTGTGCACATTCCTTGCCCCGTTAGTTGCCTGTCCGTTTTCAACCCAATTAGCAGTGAAGGACAGAAAGTCATACAAAAAATGAGCATTATATTCTTATTGTTATAAATTTGTTGACTCTGTAAAATGTGCTAAAATTAAATTTCTTCAAGTTTCATTGAAACAATTTCTTGTTTCATTGAACTGACAGTTGAAATATTGTTACAATTATATTGTAAATGTTAAATGTGTTTTTCAGTGATGATAGTGATAAGAAAGGTGATAAGAAAAGTAAGAAGGGGAAGAAAGGAAAAGGAAAAGATGAAGAAGAAAAAAAGCCAGACCAGGTTACATTTGGCCAATATGTGAGTCAAATGAATCATCATTAATTATTACACTCCTGCTGTAACATCAACAATCCATTACACATGTTGTCCTTACTTATGATGCTTTATTATTACAAATTAATAGAATTCACCATTTTCAGTATCGATATGCCACTAAGTTAGACGGGCTCTTTATCACAGTTGCCATATTCTTTGCTGCTATAAAAGGGTTAGGCTGGCCTTCTATCATGATTGTTTTTGGTAAGTTCAATAAAATTTGAATGAGTAAAATTCTGGTGATAATTATTTTCTTAGCATTCAGAGATTCAGAGAATTACCATTTGATATTTCTCGATTTGTTCTCGACTTATCGTAAGTCCCAAAACCTAATCTCTGTAATATCATTTAAAAAATATTTCATGCTCCAGGATTAATGATAGATGATCTAGCTGGCGTTGGATTAGATGGAACGGTTCGTGGATCGCAAATGGCTATGTTTGCATACTTTTACATCGGATTGGGCTTTGGTATGTAAAAAGATATGAATAATTTAAATTCATATATTTTTCATATTTAAGATTAACACTTTCAACTCCGGATTATTTGCAGTTTGAACAATTATACTTTATTACTTCTAATAAACAAATCAGCTCGCAAGGGCATCCAACATCGGTTTTCCAGTGACCATCATCAATACTTAGCCACCTCTTCTGCTGTTATTCACACATTTATTTCGATGTAAGGTCTGACAGTGTATTATAAATTACAGTGAACATATTAGCTGGATACCTCTCGACCACGCTCATGCTCCTGTCAGCGGAACGACAGTCCAGCAAGGCAAGGAACGAGTACTTCAGGGCTATCATGAGGCAGGAGATAGGATGGTTTGATGAAACCTCCAGCGGAGAACTCACAACTAGGCTCACTAGGTTAAATATTCATAATTTTAATCTTATTACTTTATTAGGAGGGTTTGAGATTGTAAATTTCAGTGTTAAATTGTTTGGTAATTTGACTCACGTGGTACATACTTATAATACCGTGTTTTTGCATATTATAGCTTTAGCCACAGGGTTGTTTGTTTGCAAACTTGCAATGTAACCTTGACTACCCCACCATTAGTGACATTACGTCAACCTCACAATCTGTGCTTTGGACCTTAAATCGTGTAAATCGTGTAACTTTATGTGCCAAGAGATGAAGAAAGTATTACTTGAAAAAACAGCTGCCTTAATTACCGAGTAAACTGCTGGCCACCTAACAGGAGTATCATTTCTCTGTAATTTCTAACTGTGTCATTCACCTTGTCTCATACAATGACTTTACTCTTGCCTACAATTTATAGAATAGTCAATCAAAAATAAAGTGATATGTCAGAATCAGAGTCATTGAGTAATGAGTTCGTATTCTCAGCTCTTCATTTAATAGAAAATAGGACAAAATCAAATTACCAAAAATTTTGTTATACAATTTCTGTCGCGCAGTCTCTCAGTTAACTAGGTCTCAAATGTAAATTCCTCAGCATCAAACTGGGGGCCAAAATATGTAATCAATGTTATTTCTTGACACGAAGGAAAATAACAGTGAACATATTTCAGTGATATCAGTAAGCTGAGAGATGGTATGTCGGACAAAGTATGTTTGGCAGTCCAGTGGATGACAGCATTCTTGGCAGGCTTTATCATTGCCTTCTGTTACGAGTGGAGATTATCTCTCGTTATCATGTCTACTTCACCTCTTATGGCTATTGCTGGATATCTCATTAGTAAGGTTAGCCGACAGTTCTCACTTAATGATATATGATAAGTATTTAGTCTAAAAACTTTAATATCATTATATTAAGATTCTTAAACTCTATTATTAAAAATACCACCGATTTATTTAATTACTGAGAGTCGTTATTGAAAGTATAGAAAGTTGTAGCCATGACATTGAATAATAATAGAGTAAGTGAAATTAGCATGTTATTTTGAATCGAAACAAGACGATTTACACAAGTATTTTGAAAGCTCCTGCTAATAAAATCTTTCGTATCACTTATATGTTTTAAATATCCCCCTCCAAGTTACATTACATTACTACATATTTTGATTGTTATAGTGATTACTCATCACATAAATTTGCAGATCATGGCGGGATTTGCCGAAAAAGAGCAGAGTGCGTACGCAGCTGCGGGAGGTATCGCGGAAGAAGTTATAGGTGCAATAAGGACAGTGGTATCATTTGGGGCAGAAACGCACGAGTCAAAACGTTACAACGAGAAGTTAGCATCTTCAGAGGCATCAGGGAAGAAAAACGGACTGTTCAAAGCACTTTCTATTGGTATCACTATGTTGATCATGTTCCTTACATACGCCCTGGCTTTCTGGTGAGTTTTTCTATTGTTAATATTATTTTCTGATTTTATCGATTTCTAACGAGGTATAGCCTGTCAAATTTCCTGTAACAGTGTAACAGTGTAACAGTGTAATAGTGTAACAGTGTAACGGTGTAACAGTGTAACAGTAATTAATATCCGACTATAACTGTCAGGTATGGCGCTAAGTTATGCGGTGAAGGGAAAGCTCTCCCTGGTGACATTCTCATTGCTTTCTTCAACATCCTGATTGGTTCCTTTGCAATGGGCCACGCAGCCCCTCATTTCCAAACCATGGCAGAGGGTCGAGGTGCAGCTTTTACTGTTTTCAAAACTATTGACAGGGTGAGTTGAGAAATATCATAGCTAGGACATGTTTAATAAACAATGTTACAATGTTTAGTATGAATCATGGTAACACGTGCATTACAGCTGCTGTACTTAGTAGCATATTCATCCAATTATAGAAGATATCCCTGAGGCTTGAGGTATACTCAATGAAACATAATACACGCGACAGTTTCTTGCTGAAAAGACCGCACAGTGAACCGCTACTTTGTATGTAGCTGTCAGACTTGGGACAGCTAATCTGTTATCTGTTTCAATCGCTGATAATTTATTTATGATTAATGAACTCTAGTCTATCATCTTCATAGTCTTGGTTGCACTGAAATATGCTGATGTGGTGATGCCATTACCATGAATACTGAATACTTCAGCTACCATAGTATATTACTAACACTGGGCTTGCACAGCAACACAAACACTATGTGTAAACCAAATTAAAATAATTTACGATTCTTATAATATCTACACTATGATTCACACTTTAAGGGAGCATACACCAAACCTGTCAAACTGCGCCAGAATTCAGAGAACAATTTCATGTCAAGCATCAAAACAATCCGATCTTCCCTGACTGACTTTTTGGTTAAAATAAGCCTGAAAAGGACAATTTCAGCTTTTTGACTTTAAAAATTTATAAAAACGCAGCCTTTTTAGATACGATATCAAGATTTTACACACACCTTGAAATAGATGTGAATAGACGGCGAGCAAAATTTCAACCCGATACCGCAAGAAATGATTAACTTATAGCCTCTCCATGAAACAAATTGTGTTTTTCCGAAAATGCCACTCTAACCAGGAAATGCTCGATTACAAAAATGGGTATTCTCAAAATAATTATTTTTTGGTGTGGAAACGGTGAGCTAGAGGGTCACTGACTTGCCTATGAGGTCATTTGGGTTGGACGGCACAAACCACTGTTTTGGTTATGCCCCCTTAACACGCATGAACAAAATCATTAATTTACGTAATAATTTGCGTTTGGACACGTAGACGGCGAAAGACTGATTATTTTTATCATGTACTAGAAACCTGCTAGTCGAAAGCTTTGTTCGAGGAAATTTAAAACTCCTCAAGACACGCTAGATAGAGACAGTATATATCTATAATGTCTACTATAATGTCTACTATAATGTTTACTATAATGTCTACTACAATATCTACTATAATGTCTACTATAATGTCTACTATAATGTGTACTATAATGTCTACTATAAAGTCTACTATAATGTCTACTATAATGTGTACTATAATGTCTACTATAAAGTCTACTATAATGTCTACTATAATGTCTACTATAATGTCTACTATAATGTATACTATAATGTCTACTATAATGTATACTATAATGTCTACTATAATGTCTACTATAATGTCTACTATAATGTCTACTATAATGTCTACTATAATGTCTACTATAATGTCTACTATAATGTCTACTATAATGTCTACTATAATGTCTACTATAATGTCTACTATAATGTCTACTATAATGTCTACTATATATAATGTCTACTATAATGTCTACTATAATGTCTACTATAATGTCTACTATAATGTCTACTATAATGTCTACTATAATGTCTACTATAATGTCTACTATAATGTCTACTATAATGTCTACTATAATGTCTACTATAATGTCTACTATAATGTCTACTATAATGTCTACTATAATGTCTACTATAATGTCTACTATAATGTCTACTATAATGTCTACTATAATGTCTACCATAATGTTTACTAATGTTTGTCAGGAATCAACAATAAACTACGAGGAAGATAAGGGATTGATTCCCGAGTCATGCGCTGGGAAGATCGAGTTTAAGAATGTCGGTTTCTGCTACCCTTCAAGAAAAGATGTTCAAATCATGAAAGGTTTGGCACAACATGTTGGTCTTGAAATACAACTTTTTGATACGAATGGAGTAAATTGCAAAACTTCTATGAAATATTGCGAAACTTAAGGGTCTGCCCACACTACGGGCCTGTTGGCGACGGGCCACATGGCCTGAGTCTATGCCCGCCACCTAAACACACTGTGCCACTTGGCGTGGATTTAGCAAGGCCCGTATTTTTAAAATCCGAGCCTCTATTCCTCGAGAGTCTCCACGCCAACTGGCGGGAGCTCTAAACACACTACGTGCCTCGTTGCGTGACTCCGGTGACTTGTGGCGGGGCCTCTGGACACACTGTGACTTTTGACCCACGCCAAGTGGGCCGTCGCCACATGGCGGACCCTAATACTCGTCACTCACTCAGGGTTCAATTTAACGCTGGAGACGGGTGAAACACACGCTCTGGTTGGACCCAGTGGTTGTGGTAAAAGTACCGCTGTAGGGCTCATTGAGAGGTTCTATGACACTACTGAGGGAGAGGTGAGTTTTACAACTCTAAGTTTTACAACTCTAAGTTTTACAACTCTAAGTTTTACAACTCTAAGTTTTACAACTCTAAGTTTTACAACTCTAAGTTTTACAACTCTAAGTTTTACAACTCTAAGTTTTACAACTCTAAGTTTTACAACTCTAAGTTTTACAACTCTAAGTTTTACAACTCTAAGTTTTACAACTCTAAGTTTTACAACTCTAAGTTTTACAACTCTAAGTTTTACAACTCTAAGTTTTACAACTCTAAGTTTTACAACTCTAAGTTTTACAACTCTAAGTTTTACAACTCTAAGTTTTACAACTCTAAGTTTTACAACTCTAAGTTTTACAACTCTAAGTTTTACAACTCTAAGTTTTACAACTCTAAGTTTTACAACTCTAAGTTTTACAACTCTAAGTTTTACAACTCTAAGTTTTACAACTCTAAGTTTTACAACTCTAAGTTTTACAACTCTAAGTTTTACAACTCTAAGTTTTACAACTCTAAGTTTTACAACTCTAAGTTTTACAACTCTAAGTTTTACAACTCTACGTTTTACAACTCTAAGTTTTACAACATGACCACTTGTTGAACTGCTCAACGTTTCCGACAGTATTTCAAGAAATTTAAAATAAAAAAAAACACTTTAACTTGCTCCTCCCTTTGAGTAAGCACAACCTCAGATTGACCACCAACTCACCAACAGTGTACCGAACTGATTGATTACTCCCTTCATCCCAGGTATTACTGGACGGAGTGAACATCAAAGATCTCAACCTACAGTGGTTGCGTAATCAGATCGGTCTGGTTGGCCAGGAGCCAGTTTTGTTTGCTACTACTATCGAGGAGAACATCAGATATGGCAGGAGTGACGTCACTCAGACACAGATTGAAGAGGCTTGTAAGAAAGCTTTCGCACACGATTTCATTATGGAACTGCCAAATGTAAGTTTTCAGTCCTGGCATCCAAAAAAAAGTATCATTTCGATTTAGATCAGTTCACGCCACACACTAATTGCATTCGTTTGTAATTTTGTTGTCTCTTGCTTATCTCGCCTATTACTATGTGTGCTTGTAGCGTTTAAGCCATGGCTACTGTTAACGACAAGGAGTTGGAGGATCTGCTTGGTAAATGTTCTGCTTGGATACCTAAAGCGCTGGAACAAGTTCCAGTTGAAATGACGTCAGCAGTGTGTTAACGTGCGATGAAGGACGTAACACTTTCGCATTACTAGCAGGAACCCGTATAACACTAAAATGGTGTCAAGACTCAAGAGACTAAAATAATTATTACCTATTTAATTCGCGTTTTTGACACCACTTGGGGGTCCAAATTTTGGGCTCTAAAACCCCTATTCCTTGGCCAATTGTTTGTTTTTTCATGCTGAACTGAAGGCCATTAAAGCATTTGGCCCAGTCAAAAACTTTTCAGTTGTACTTGTATATCTTTTACGGTTTTTGCGGAAATTCGCGTTAAAGTTGATGCCGTGGTGTCAGTAAAATGGCACGGAACCATATATATCGTCTCGCTTTATATATAGTAAGATTGTTTTCTGAATTGTTCAACTTAGTGTGGTTTCAGGCGGAATAAATGAAACAGCTGAAGGCTGAGCTGAGCTCCATCAAGAGCCAGCTAATCGAGAATGAGATGTGGGTAATTAGACGTACAGGAGCAGATTGTCGACAACAAGGACACCTAGCCTGACGCAGTAAAGACTGTTGTAAAGTCGTCAGCGGAGAGCAACTTAAAAGAACAGTTTAAGTCATGCAGTGAAGCTGCTGCGGAAATCGTTTTGGTCTGCCAGACTGATAGTTAATGGCAGATCCGGCTGAAGAAAGTGGTCAAGTCCGTCGTCCAGGAGGAGAATCAGAGCAGGAATGATGTATTGTTTGGACTGCCAGAACAAGAGGACGAGAATGTTGAAGAGCGGATACAAGAGGTATTCCAGGAGATAGGACTATTTAAAGTTGAGCCTACTCTGCAGTCTGCTACCAGAGTAGGAAAGATTGAAGATTCGTAAAGATAATTCGATTATCCGAAGCGCCCAGTCAAAGTTTCGTTATCAAGTCACAGCACTTTCCATCAAGTGCTATGTCAAGTTAACTTTAAGAAGCTGCGCCACTCAACGACAAAGTGTATGTGAGACCAGATCTCTCCGAACTCCGAAGAAGAGCGATCTCAGGACAGGCTCCTGAGTCCTGGTTCATGAACTGGTAAAGAAAAGAGAAATGGAACCGGATAAACTCTCGTACGATCAGGGACAAATATTTTTTTAAAAAAGCCAATCAGGTGATGATGTGTGTCGTGGCTGTGTGAGGTTTTAAAAGATGGCGAAAAACCACCTTGCACTAGCTTTTCTGTTTTCGCATCATATGAGAATACAAAACTTCATAGTTTTCGCAATATTTTGGTTTGTTGTTGTTTTGACTTGTGTTGGAGTGAGTTCATACCAAACATCATTCATGAAGCATATAGTGTGCAGTGCCCTGAACAGGGATTATTATTCACTATTATTTTATATCTTTTAATTGGTCATTAGAATAATAACCGATTTAGTCTTAGATCAAGTGTTTACTAGTAACTATGTTCTAGAATGCTGTTTTAAAACTATCACAAACACGTATCCTTATCTTCACTTTCATCAGCGATACCAAACTCTATGTGGAGAACGCGGATCCAAATTATCGGGCGGTCAGAAACAGCGTGTTGCTATTGCACGTGCTCTGGTGCGCAACCCTAAGATACTGCTCCTGGACGAGGCGACGAGTGCGCTGATAACAAGAGCGAGGATATTGTACAGGCGGGCACTGGATTTCGCTGCGGAGGGCAGAACTACTCTCATCATCGCTCATCGGCTCTCTACTACCATCAACGCTAACACCATCTCTGCTATTGGTATTGTTTTTTATTATATTTTTCCAATTTTTATTTTCCTTTCTCAGAGAAGCTAATTCATTAGTTTTACGTCAGTAAACTAACGAATCATATTTTAACCAAGTATTTAACCCCGAACCCTCTGCTCCTTTACTAATTACTAAGTGTTAATTATAATTTCAGGAGAAAACCAGTGCGTAGCAGAGGAAGGAACGCACGAGGAATTGCTAGCAAAGGAGGGACTTTACCACACTCTTGTCATGTACCAGCAACAAGTACAGGTATAAACTTGCCGAGCACGTATATCTGGATAGCGTTACAGTTTCTCCAGGCTATAATAATATGTGAATTAAGTAAACCATCAGTCTCAATCATAGCTACTAGAAATACGGACCGATGATTCTTAGTCATCATCAAGGTGCAGAAAGATTACCTTCTTCTCGCATTTTTACACAACAGCTCCGGCTTTACACTGAAAAAGCCGCATATCAATTAATTATGAATATTTACGTGTGTAAATTTTTTTTTTTTCCTTGGCTGATAGTGGTGTTGTACCACGTCACGTGCGAGTGTGCACAACAACGTGCTACTTTCCAAATGCTACGTTTAAAACACAATGTTTCTTATTGTAACTGACTGGCGCCCACTATTTATAGCTGTGGTATGTGGTATGTCCTGGCAACTGGCCAAGTTTCTTGATAAAGTTAGGTTCCCTGATGGGTATTTTAATGGGATTTGAGAGCAGCTTTCAATTTTAAGTCGTGTTATTGTCCTCAGAAAGGTAAATGCTAATTTAATTGTGCACCCTTCCGTATTTTAAAAGAAACCAGGCTAACTTGATGCACCATCTAGCTAAACAACTAAGAAATACCGCTCCGAACGAAACAATCAAGGTTCCCAGATAGTGTGTACCTTGTACGTGATATGACTATCAATCAGTGTACATTATACATTATACACTACGTGTGGTGTAAGGCTGAGCCTTAAAAAACTAATGATCTCATTACAAGAAATATTATGTGGAACTTCTTCAAGTTCCTTACTAAACATTCTGGAATATTCTTTGTAATGTCCCGTGACGACCTTGCCCTTATTACACAAAATTGATGTAAACATGAAAACGACGTATCTCAAGACGACCCGCTCGTGACTCAAACATGATGTTTCTTTTTCGTGTGTTAGTGACTACAATCAATCTTAAGATCCTACACTCGTTTATCTTGAGGCGACTGCAATGCAGCCGCTGCATACCATTATTACACAAAATTGATATATAATAAACAATAAACATGAAAACGACGTAACTTGAGGCGACCCGCTTGTGACTAAAGATGTTTAGTTTTGATATATTCATGACTAACATCAATCTTAAGATTAAACACTCATTTATCGTGGGGCGACTGAACGTCAGCTGTTTCATTCTGAATTGTTGGGTTTCAAAAGGATTACCAATTATGTGATTTTGTGGTATGTGGTGTGGAATTTAGTGTCCAGACTCAGAGATAAATCCAGGTTGGTAAAATCCACTTTCATGTAATAAAGGTTGTGAAATGTGTTCGTGTACATAGAAACTGGAAGTCCTTAATTCGGCTGCATTCAGATACTCCACGTAGAATGATGAATATAATACTTAATATCGGAGATTGTTTTCGTCGGATATGATGACGTAAATTTGAATTGTTATGTCAATTGTCAGACGATATAATAGATTAATTTTGTATCCGACGAATAATTTTGAATGATGAATAAAAAATACCAACAAATGCTAATATACACCCTAGTTTATTGAACGCCAATCCGGTTTACGAAATTAATATTTTAGCAGTTAAAACTACATAGGCAGTTCCAGCTTAACTTGGCAATGTTCCCGATCTTGTAGCCCTCCAGCTGCATTATACTATGTTACCCTATGTTATAGTTCTTCCTACTATTATATAACTGAGTTAGACAAGGAAATATTGTTAGTAAAGTTAGATCTACCAAACTGTAAAGATAGATAAAGGACTTAAAACGTCAGGGAGGCTAGGTGAAGGAGAGGAAGCGGACTCAAACCTTTTGGTAAACCGTCTGCTACCAAGCTAATCTAGCACTTGTCATTACCTAATTGATCAATTAGTAATTACTTAAATGATTATCACTCACATTCAAACGCGTTTTCAAAATTTGTTTGCTGAGCTGCGTGTTCTTGCTTGTACGCACATAATTATCCTACATTCTTCACTACAGATCTCACACAATCAGTAGAATATGTACATTGTACTTACTCAATCGTTAGTTACATGCTATGTTACACAGTTTATAACTCAAGTTAAAGGCTTCACATATCACATTATTAGCCACGATGATTTGTGTACATTTAATTTTCTAAATTATCGTCCCAATTATTGGGGAATGTTCATGTTCTTCAAATAACTATAATACTATAGCTAACACTGATCGATATGTGCATATAATATGTTTCTCATAATTATTGATCTTCTAAAATTGGGGTTCGAGTCATTTTGCCATATTGATTTAAATTACAGTTATATTGAAATAATGAATAACTATTAGTGTCTTCTTGTTTTGCTTGGCTGAAAATATCTGTTCTCAATGTGTAACTTAACTTGAATTGGTCGTCTAAGGATATCGTATATATTATATTGTATTATATGTTGTGTATTCTGGGTAAAATTATCTTTATCCCGGTTAGTTGCGACAAGTAAAAATGCTCTTATTAGGGAAAGGAGATTACTCGACGTTTCAATGTAACTACATCGTATTCATGATCTAAAAACAAGTGTTAAAAATTCAAAACGTAAAAAACATATATCTGAGGCAAAATTTGTGTACATTAATTTATTTTTAATCAATCAACTTTATCCAAAAATTCGATACAAAAAAGTCATAACAAAATTCATAACAAAATTAGTTTTTACGACGACAAACTTTTATAGTAAATACTGTACATTCCTAAAACTACTACTAAATATACTACACATGATACAGAAGCATGGAGTGCTACAACGGTGAACAGGTGCATGATGTGAAGTGTGTAGGTATGTATCTAGTGTGGAGTGAAAATGGCGGGAATCGTACTGACCAATGAGAAGTGTGAAACGTGGGAGCCTAATATGGTTTGATTGATGTTATAAGGGTTAGTGTGTTGAATAGGAGGCGGAAGTGTGCGTGTGTGAGATGTGGTCCCTGTACTCAGAAAGTAAACAAAACCTATAAATATCACTAAATATCACTACATATGTGTAGACAATCCCCTGTCTGTAAAGTATAAAATATGTTACACCCTGTTTATTATGTACTTGTTACTAAAAAACGTTTGATGGTTTCTAACTCATCTCTCTTGTTAATGTTAGGTTTGAACTTCAAAATAAGCATTGCTTCTGCAATCTTTCTTCTAGCTGTGTTGCTTTCTGTTTTTAAAATCTCAAATTCTAAATTGGGTTCTGACCCTCTATGTAAACTGTTATAACGAATAGCAAAAGCTTGACTAGTGTTAGAAGGAGTTAAAGGAAATTTAGCATATCTTAGGTGCTCTCCGAGCCTATCATGTGCCCTCCTGCACGTCTCACCAATATAAATATTATTACAGATTTTAAAGGTAATCTTATACACAACGTTCTTCACCTCACAATCTTTATTTTCAGTTTTACAGGAGTTAATAATACAGGTTCTCTTATCATACGGTCTGTTATTGCACACAATATTTCTTAGTTTTCTAGCTGGGGAAAATATAACTTTAATAGGTAAATTATTCTGTTTAATATGAACAGAACAACGTCGAGTAATCTCCTTTCCCTAATAAGAGCATTTTTACTTGTCGCAACAACCGGGATAAAGATAATTTTACCCAGAATACATTACAACAATGCGACTCATAAATAATACTCCAATCCGGATTTTACATGTATTATATGTTGTTGTTATTAATATTCCCTCCTGGATAGGCACCAGAAAGACACATATTTTCAGTGCTTAGAGAAACAAATCATATATCGTGTCCTGAGACTTATGTCTACATTCTACATTGTATACGTTAGAGTAAAATGTACAAGGTGTACACAGTGTACAAAACATCTTACATCAACTATCCGTAGTCACATATCTGATACTGAGATACAACTACCTCCTAGACGAAGCAATGTTTCAGTAACTGTACGTGATGGTCTTTCTCAAGCAAATAATCGAGCAAGCTGGACATCAACCAATAAACTACGGTCAAATTATTAACTTTAAGACACATGACATGCTGTGTTGGTTATTATTCATCATTCAAATGGTCACATACTGGTAACCTACTAGTCACATACTGGCCCTTCAAATGGTACTTACATACATATTTTATTACATTTTTACCACAAACATGGTTACGTTACAAAAGCTGTGCTGTTAAACTAAGTAGAGTTAAACTGAGTAAAATATTTTTTATGTGGCGGAAAATTCATGCTGGTTTTATATTCACAAGCTTTCTGATATTACAATAATTGTGCGAGGTTAAGATTGGCTAATTTTACAAAGTTAACATTAACAAGCAAGTTACCGCCTATTTTCTGTCAGTCTGGACTGAAATGTAAAAGCTCTTACTTCTTAACTGAAACTGTGAGTATAGTATGCTACTTGCTACAAAATGCGCAACAAGTTCCAAGCTAGATATTTAAAGGGTCGGCAAAAATTTACTTAACGTTACGCAATACGGGATGAACCTCATTTTGATGTGCAGTACATACATCTAGATTGTGTTCATTATGGCCCACCTTTAGCTAAATTTGCGCTTAAAAATCTATAAATTTTTGCTAAAATTCATAATGAAAACCGAAAAGATAAGATCAATACCTGTATCAAAATGAAATCACGACGAAGAATTTTCGTAAAAGTAGTGTGAGTTTTGAATGATAAGGTAGATACTAGACGGTATAGAATGGGTCCTGCCGCAAGCTATAAAATAACAACAACCGTTGAGCCACCAAGACCACAAGGGCATACCATCATTGCTTCTCTAATCCTGCATACAGAACACTTTTCACTACTACAATACCATTAGTTGAGGTAAGGTAAACCGTGTAATTGCAGCTGTCCCAATACCATTAGTGAACTAGTAGCTCACTGCTTACTTGCCCAGTTAAGAACGTATGTAAAACATATTACATTATACTGTCGTTCTAGAGAGCAAAGAAATATCAGAGTTACATACTCTGTCTGTGTTATAAAGATTAAAGAAGCTCTAGCTCAAGCAGGTAAAGAATGCATAAATCACAGTATCAAGTATCAACCCAAGATGTTTCAAGTACCGTGGATTCACGAAATCATGCTCTATCCCTCAATGTGATGATTCCGGCCATTTTTATGCCCAAGATAAGCACTTAGCTCCAATCAGAAGCTAATATATCTTGTATTTGATAAGAGACATCGCAAAATCCATGTTAAACGGCGATATAAATATACCGCTTTTTTTTGCTCTCACGAGTAGAGATTGACGCACCAAATATTGTTTCTAGAAATGTTGATGGATTTGAATTAAGCTTACTACATAAAGAGGAGAACTCAAGCACGGATAAATTTATGATAGGAGAAAAGGCAGGTATTTTCTTGGCAAGCATTTTCTAGTTCCGTCACGTCCCCGCCGGTTATTTTGATAGTTAAAAAATAAAAATGCCAACGGTGCCCTGGAAGATTTGGATATCTGAGTTTGAGGAAAAGTTAATTTTATATTCATAAACAACAGTTTGCAGAGTACCAATGGGTTGGATCATTGGGTTGCCTTGATTGACGATGTCAATCCCTCGCGGCCCGCAGCTCTACCAAGAACGAGAATCATGTATTGATGCGCGATGTGGTTGGGACTGGGTACTGCAGTGACCTACTGACTTTCTCTTAAATCAGGTTGCGCCATAGGGTTAGGACTGGGTCTCTGGATGTATCAAAATTATTTTGATTATATAAAACTCTACCGGGTTTTAGTAAATTGTGATGGGTCGCGAAGAGATTAGTGATAGTATACCTATTGTCTGCAGGCAGAAAGGTTGCTCCTCCCAGCCCCAGGACCCATCCTCCAGACATGTGATAGTGTGAGAGCCAGTGTTCACGTGACCAGACCTACACTTCACTTCCAGGGTACTTCCAGGGATCGGAGGATACTCAGGGTCAAGGTCCGTGTTTGGAAACGTTGGGGTCTTGCATATCACTGTAAGAATGTGTTTAAAATAAGGGGAATTCCAGAGTTTTTACATGACCTGTTTGACTTATAACGGTCCTTTTTAAGAACAAGAACAAGAGCTTCTACTAGACATTAGAAAAATGGCCCCATTTCTAATACATAACCTTTTTTATTTTACCTGATGGTTTGTAGAAGATTGTTGGTGAAGGGGGGCTGCCAGTCTCGAACATAAGATAAGATGAATCTCTGGTGAAGGCAGCATGACATTTATCTGGGAAACTTCTGTACTCAAAGCTCCAAACTTCAACTTTGTTACATTCTATCTTCAGGTGAGTGGGTGTTTTGAATATAGTCCAAGTTCTGTAGAAATGAGCTGGAACGTTGGTCATTGTGAAGCCGTCTTCCTCTGTACCCACCATTACAATCTGGGCCTAACCAGATACTGAACTCGTTGAACTTAAATGACATCCAGAACACTTCCGCTTTTGAGGCGTCAGAGAACTTAATCCAGAGCTGAGAGTTGTCGTTATCAGCCCAAGTTCTAAGTAGAAGTGGAGTTGTTTCAATGTCAAAGTTAACGACTTCTTTTAGTTTAACTGCTTTCCAATCTGAGATGTGAATCAATTAAACATCATGGATTGATTGGAAATTTAAAATATTATGACTTTTGACAGCTATCAGTAACTGGAGTATAATAATAAGAAGATAACTAAATATTCTGATCTTAAAGAGTTCATCTAAAAGTTAAACGTAGTTTACCTGATGCCCTGTACTGCTCAGCGACTTGTGAGCTGTGATCCACAAAGAACATTTGACGTGATGGTTGGTTGAAAGATGTGCATTTGATGTCTCCTAGAACAGAATCACTGTAAGTGTACTTCAAGCAAAACTCCCCGTTACACTCAATAATCAACTCTTTAGATGTCTTGAAGATTGTCCAAACTACTTCAGTTGTTGCTGGTTCCGGGTTAAGTAATGCTTCACCTGGGCCGTTACAATCTGCCAACCATGCGCTGTTGTCCTCGATTAATATTCCTAACGAGAATACATCAAGACCACTTATAGGAACTGCTATGGTTCCTTGAATCCAGACATATTTGCTAGGGGTCCCAGTAGCGGTGTTAGACTTTATTTCCAGTGGTACTTCATCCAAGATATGGTCAAACTTTACTCCTTTCTCAACGGTCTGCCACTCTGCAATAGCGATGATCAAGATAACCCAAATTTCATCTTCCGATTTAATATACAGATAAACACGATTATATTGTGTACTAGACGACTGGATAGCACGATTATTTAACTCGATGACTCACCTCTAGTTTCAGTCGTGCTCACAGGCACAGTCCACAATGAGAGCACAAAGATGACCTGGTGTTGCTTCAGCATGACATTTCCTATTATAGTGTTACAAAACGTTCAGTTAGTTAAATGTTACAAATTATTTAAATGTTAAAGGAAGACGGTTACAAACACTTCCAACTGAGGCAAATTTCTAACCAATATATCTATAGAAAAGAGAACAGTTTTTATCTTATTGGAGGATTATTTTCGAACCGGCACGTCTCTTCGCGAACAAACAAAAACAGGTGTTATCACCATCACGGGTAAGTGATTTGTAAATTATTTGCGAATTTTCGATTTTCAGCTTTTTAGTAGACTTCTGATCTAGGTCTACAAGTGCTTCTTTCCTTGGGAGCCATTATATTTTCTAACTCTTCCTTCGTCCCCATAGCTAGCAGCCGATTTTTCAGGCTTTAAATGTTTTTCGATTAACAGCCTCCATCGTATTTTTATTTAAGATCGGTTAATAAATATCGGGAGAGACCAAATTGTTTTTCAACTTTACAAATGTCTTCAGTACAGCTGACAATCTCAAACGTGATGAAAATAGTAAATTTTGGACAGATGGTCGCTCTAATCTTCGATTATGAACTTTAATTTCTACAAATATTTTCTGTCCTCATAAAAGGGGTTCGGAGATAATATATAAATAACATGATGATTATGCAAAATTCTGTTATACATTGCATTGCAAACGAAAGTTAAGAAAATCGACCAAAGAATACCAGCGATTTTCAATTCGTGATGGTCAGACTCTGAATGATTTTTAACCCTTATTCGCCTGCCATAATGTGACAATTGCGTTTTCCATTCCCTATTGATCTGCTTTTATAGTGGCAGAAACAAATGTTTTAAGTTTGTTATTTGGGGGCCGGATAAAATTTTCTATAGCCAGTTTTTCCCAGCAGGTTTATTTTATAAAGTTATGAAGTTGTTGTTGTTTTTTCAGTATTTTTCCCACTTTCAACATAATATATTCAATTCTATCCACAGTGTTAGCTGTTTTAAAGTGTTATTACTGCATGAGGGGGTTGTCCACAAAGTGACACGTCTTAAACAAGGAAATTGGCTATGTTATACACATAGAAGTTTTATGAGGCACCCTTACCTGTATCAAAATGAAATCACGACGAAGAATTTTCGTAAAAGTAGTGTGAGTTTTGAATGATAAGGTAGATACTAGACGGTATAGAATGGGTCCTGCCGCAAGCTATAAAATAACAACAACCGTTGAGCCACCAAGACCACAAGGGCATACTATGACCATTGCTTCTCTAATCCTGCATACAGAACACTTTTCAACAAGCTATTCACTACTATAATACCATTAGTTGAGGTAAGCCCAGTTAAGAACGTGTGTACAAAATATTATATTATACTGCCGTTCTAGAGAGCAAAGAAATATCTGAGTTACATACTCTGTCTGTGTTATAAAGATTAAAGAAGCTGCTCAAGCAGGTAAAGAATGCATAAATCACAGTATCAAGTATCAACCGAAGATGTTTCAAGTACCGTAGATTCACGAAATCAAGAACTTAGCTCCAATCAGAAGCTAATATATCTTGTATTTGGTGCGTCAATTTCTACTCGTGAGAGGGTTTAAAACGGTATATTTATATCGCCGTTTACCATGGATTTTGCAATGTCTCTTAAGAGATCTCTTAAGAGATCTCTTGATTGTTCTAGAGATCTCTTAAAAACTTTTGAAAAAAAAAAGCCCTTTAAATCTTAAAATATTAGTACCAAAAGTTTCGTCTCGATGAGCTGATTACGATACCATAATAATTATGTGATAATAATCGAAAATGTGAAAGTTATAGGCCAAAAACTAAAAATTTGCGCGAAAAAAGCACGCACGGCGAACAAGCGCCGTGTAGCATTTTTAGCGAAAATTGCTACACGGTGGATTTATTTTATTCACATTTTAGACAACTTTTGGTACCAAATTTATCGAAATCGGAGAAAAAAAGTTCTGTGCTCGCGCTTGGCGCTTATTACACTGACTATACATGAAGAGGAGAACTCAAGCACGAAATAGAAAAATCCGAGTGACCGCAAAACTCTAGAAAAGGGTGTGGCGCCCATCATCTAGAGAGGTGATGACCGTTGAGAAATTGCTTTTAACACGAAAAGCTAACGAGAGAGCCTTTTAGAACGGTTTGTCTCCGACTAATAGAGCTAACTGCTAAGGGAATTTTAAAATGTATGGCATTACAAGGTAAGCGTGTATTTGTATGATCTTAGACTTAATTCGATTCTGAGACCTAGATATATATCGCATTTAACTTATTTTGTACACTTACACTGCAATAACCTCCACAAATCCACATGAACATTCCTGTCTGAAGGGATTCTTTTAATTCCTTACTTCGTGAACTATATAAACTGATTTAAAAAAAGTTGATTATAGCAGTACTATTATAAGTAATGTTGTCTTACTAAGTTCATTGTATCGGTTACATGATATTTAATACTAAAACAGCTGAATGAATGGAAGATTGAGATGAGGAATAAAATACGAATGACTTGTAGATCCGTAACTGTATGATAATAATATTTGAGCTATTTTTAGCCATCCACTTTGTGTGTAACAGAGGAGGAGTATATTGTTCTAGACCATTGTTTGTCTATACACAATATTGAGCTCTCAAAATAAACAACATTCCAGCAATAGTTTATAACAAAACGCATCATCTCAGAACGAAGGTGGAGAAGAGCTACCAGCCCTACCCAGCATTGAGGACGTCCAGAAAAAGGTATGTGGACTGTGTATTTCAAAAATAGTTACAGTACAATGACCGTCAATGCCTGAATACAATTACTAACAATAACTTTCAATGGCCTGAAATAACTACTATAATACTTACAGTAACTTACTGTACAATAACTTACAATTTCTTACAACTATAGTCAACAGTACTACCATTATCTCATTGTTAGGGGGTCAAACCAATACTGGCTCCCATTCTATCAGATCTAACGTGCACTTCTTTTCATAACTTCACATAGACTCAAGAGTGGGTCCGTTTACAACAACAACCCTCAGCTCTGGTTGTACTTATCCGGCGAAAGAAAATAGGGAGGGGGTGGCCAATCAATTTGTTACCAATTTATTACCAATTTATATCCCAACTATCGGTCAAATGGACATGGGCATTGATGTTTTTAAGCCTTCTTATTGATGCCAGTTCAAAGATGTATATTTTGTACGTGATCTTCCTGGAATCAAATGAGTTGCATTGAAGCAAATTGAAAGTTGTCAATATCATGCTAAACAGTCTTTGTTTAAATCGTTGATTTACCGAATCAATACCTTTCATCTCGAGACCCGAATCAAAATTTGTTTTGCTTTTGTTGTGAAAGTTCGTATTGGGGGGGGGGGGGGGGGGGGGGGGGGGGGGGGGGGGGGGGGGGCATTAGATCACCGTATCTTAATGACATAATGCTGGCTGAAATTAGATTACAGAAGGCAGCGCCATCATGATATTATGTGATGATCTCATTCAAATAGTACTGGCACTGGTATGCCTGATGACGTGGTGAGTGGAGACGTGTCAATGTGAACGTATCAAAACCTTAAATCTAAAAGTTCTAGAAATTTCTTGTCGACCACATGACATTTGCCACTCATAAAATGACTGTACTTAGGGCTAGAAACTCGATATTTTCTGGATGCCCTTGGTAATATTAGTTCAAAGAAAAATGTTTTGTTCGTGTTCGATCTTTTATAAACCAAAACATAAGTGTTAATACGGAATACCCCAATTGTACAAGAAAAATGATAATTTTTCAGGAACGTTTTGAGTTGAATATCAATATGGGCGTGGCTTTTGTGTAATGTGTATGGGCTGAAAGTCAAGTTAAAATCAGAAATTGGTTTAATTTGTCAAAAACACAGGTTTTAATACCCCACTTTTCCAAGAAAATTACCAATTTTGTTCAGCTTTTCGGGAATTTTGTTGCTCAAATATCAATGTGGGCGTGGCTATATTATTTGAGTATGTTCTAAAAATAGACATCACCAATCGGTTTCTTAGTTTTAAAAAATCATATAATTAAAATTTGAGATTTTCCCACGATCGACAAAAGGGCGTGGCCACAGACTTGGTGGAAACATAAAAAATGTCTCGAACCAAATTTTTTTGATCTATAGACCCCAATAGACCAAAATAACATCACAAACCTTCCACACTCAAAACATTGTGCGGCTTTCTGGCCAGATACTTGATACCCATATTATGTGCAAACAACATTTTAATCCTCAATACAAGGGATTTGAGGGTATTCCTAATGTAAATGTATTACAAATTCATACTTAGAGCGGTGGTGTCGATGCAGATGTTCCGTTATTTATGATATCGTATTGTATTACCTTGTTCCTCTCTACCAGAATATATATATTTTACAGTGCAGTGGTAGTAACTAGTAACTTGTTAGTAACTAGTAACTTGTTAGTCTTACTATGTATGTTTACGGACGGACGGACTGATTAGCGACTGACTGACCACTAACTTCAGCTTCTGTTCCCGAAAAATGATCAGGAAATATTGCAGGCTTCAGTAAAAGAACTGGTGTCCAAGAAATCCATTAAACAAGCTGTATCTCAGAAGGAGAAAGAACTCGAGGTGAGATATTGTTAATTATCGATTTAGTGAAAATTTGATAAAATCTACTTTCAAATTTGATTTCATAGAGTTTCATCTATGTTTTTCAACATGAAACTAATTTTACCAAAACGTTCTTGTAATTTTTGCACATTCTAAAATTTTATCAGGTAGCAATTAAAGACCCGAAAAGTAAGGAAAAGGAAGGAGCACAGGAGATGGCAAGCTTCTGGGAGATAATGCAACAGAACAATGCGTACGAGAACGCGTGCATCCTCGTGGGTATGTCAACTTTTCATATATTTTATCTGAATTCTCATTGGAAGTGTCAGATGAAGATTCGTTTGATGTGTCACATGATTTTAAAGAAGTCATCAAATTATTGATGGTTTAATTTTATCTGAATGATTTTCTCCAGGTGCATTCGGTGCTGCCGTTAACGGTGCACACATGCCAATCTTCGCAGTCCTCTTCGCGGAAGTTATTGGGGTTTACATTATCTCTTTAAATTTCTTAATTTCTACTGATTGTTTAACGTTTATTCTAGATTATAGATATTATCAGTTTCCCCTTGATCGAGTTATCGCAACGGGTCTGGATCTAATGAGTCCAGTGAATCAATCCAGATTGAATAGTCGATCATTGAATTTACCTGCAACGTAGATTCAAAGAAATGCGACTACATCCCACGCTTTGATATTCTAATGGACGTTACACTATGTCTATATGTGATTTAAAGTACGTGAGGTACATTATACATTATACATTAAATACATTATACATTATACATTATATCCTAACATTCAACTTCTCAGGCCCTGGCTATAGTGGTGCCGGATCCAAAAAACGCGGACTACAAACCTGACTACAGTGAAACCAACAAGTGGTGTATATTCTTTATAATTGTAGGGGTTGTCGCTGGTCTTGCCAACTTTTTACAGGTATGTAGGATTTTGTATGTATCTCAGTTTCAAATCTCTTGATTACAATTTAAAGGAATATGTTCAAGCTCTTTATGTAACCTCTGTGTTTTCAGATAAGTCCGGGAACAAAAATAAAACAATTTCTCAATTGTTATGTTTCTGAATCTGGAAATTATCGTTTATATGGCAACCCTTTACCCATTGTTTCAAAATGTAACCGGTTCCCTACTGCCATTGTGATTCTAAAACTGTGTCCCATTATTTCAGATTCATTTTATGACCCTCAGTGGTTTAAGCTTCACCACCAGAATGCGGCAGAATGCGTTTAAAGCTCTGCTCCGAAAGGTAGGTTCCTTTCTGTTAAAAAAACTTTTTTCCAGGCGACACACAATAAAAAAGCATCCAATTCCCTTGAATTAGATGTGAATTTTTTTGCGGATATGATATGTATAAACGCCTCTATTGTCTAGAACATGGGGTACTTTGACCTACCAGAGAACTCGATTGGAGCACTTACTACTCGCTTATCAGAAGATGCGGCTGCTATCAAAGGAGCTACTGGTATGTTTTCTAGTTTATACATGTAGCTAGTTACAGGCTTGTTGCTTATAAAGAAGCTTTTATTTAGATGAATTGTTGGTCACGTGGTTTTTACTAGGAGAAATCCTTTTCTGCACCAGATCTGGTCGGCTACAAGTTCAAACAATCGTGAATTCTTTAATATTCCCTCGGCTTCCTCAGGAGTAAGGATCGGTTCGATGTTACAAAACATAATTGGATTGGGAGTTGGTATCGGAATAGCGTTCTTTGCAAGTTGGCGTCTGACTTTGGTTACTCTCGGTTGTATACCTTTCGTAGCTGCTGCAGGTATTCTATATCATCTTCGTTATTGTAAAGTCATTTATCATTCATCCATGGAAACTTTCCTAACAAATGGATAACAAAAAGACGCTGACCCCGGCGGCCCCTTTCCCTCCACATTACTTTGTTTTTCCAGGAAGTGTACAAATGATGCAATTATCTGGGACCATGAAGTCTATGACAAGGCTTTTCGAACAAGCTGGCCAAGTTGCTGCTGAAGCCGTCGAAAACATGAGGACTGTTTCTTCGCTGTGTATTGAGCCACTGTTCTTAAAGAAATACGCTGACTCCCTTAAAAAACCTTCCCAGTAAGTGTAACTTAAATATAACTTAAACCCTATATATTTTGTGTCAGTTCTGTACAATGTTACTTTGTCAAAAAGAAGATATTTCATACATTCCGATTGCCAAATAATAAGAATTGTAAATCTCAGGAAGTTTAAGAAGCAAGCCCATTTGTCAGGACTATCCATGGGGCTGGCTGAAGCTGTCATATTCTTCACATATGCTGCTGTATTTACGTATGGTAACTATCTCATGAATCTTGAAGATGGGCACAGTGGTAAACTGAGTTTTACTGATCTCATGAAGTAAGCTTTATGTTCATAATTATGTCATAATTATGTCTGATTAATTAACATGCATGTATTTCTGTTTGATATCCATTAGTTAGAAGTTGAATATTGTGCTAAATAATTTTACAATGTGAATGGCAGTGGCCCCGCTGACCCCGGGGACAATTTGGAAAAACTTAACTAAAGTACTAGCAAAACTGCGCTTTTTTTGCTCACACAATTTTTAGAGATTTACTGGCGTATCCTCTAAAATCGTAACGCCACTGGTTAATCGTATCGCTCACATCAAGGTAGCTGTGTCCTGATGTTGTGTCAGCCAAATCGCAAGGGAACCGTCCTACTCAAGCATCAGTCTGAAACAAAATGCAGTGAATGATTGAAAATATTTTTTACAGGGTATTTTCTGGGATAGTCTTCTCGGCCATGTCAGTCGGTCAGACAATGGCCATGCTACCGGACTACGGAAAGGCAAAGGCTGGTGCTTTCAAGCTTTTCAAACTCATAAAAGAACCTCCCATCATTGACGCCTACACCGAGAAAGGAATAAAGGTAATAAGATTATTAGACTTTGGTTGACCTTCATATCAACTACTGTAATAATTCTATGCCAAACATATACACTGAATCAATCTAAAACGTTCAGATATAGATGGGGGCAAGCGTGCCACAAATTATTGCTATAAATGGGCCCGTGTGGCGTGTGTTTCAAATGTGCTACAAATTTTGAGAAAACATCGCAACACAAATCGCAACACAAATCCCCTACAGGGGTAAAGATTCTCATTCTGGATTTTTAGGGGATTTTTCACAGATTTTAGGTTATTTAGGATGGGTAGCCTGAGTGGGGTTGTGTGACTTAGTTATTCATATTAGTGTCTATAAATTCGAGGAGTTTATTCTGACGGCTACCGTCTTAAATTCTACAATGATAAATATTTTAATGTACGTGGGCGCGTAAAATCCACTACAGAAATAAATCCACTACACATGTTAAGGAAACGTCTTCTGGCTGAACTTGCAGTAACGCGCCGTCTTTTAAGTCTTGATAAAGATGGCGCTGATAGCCGACACAATCAACATGCAGCGTGTACTGTGAGCGTGCGCGCCTAATATTATAACAACAACCGAACAACACGAACGTCCCACACATTTATTGAGATTATTAGTATAGATACCGTATTTCAGCCTGAAGTTAAAGGACTTCTCCGGTTCAACAGCGTCAAATTTAACTACCCGTCACGCCCTGACCTGCCTGTTTTGAAAGGTAAAAATTCAATAATGATTCTGAATATTTCGTTTATGGACACGTTCACTTGAGTTTTAGGATATTGGTAAACAAAATAAATAGCGTTATGATAATAGGTGCACCACTACATATCGTTTTTGTTCAGGTCTCTCGTTCAATGTCGACAAAGGCAAGACAATCGCCTTGGTCGGTGAAAGTGGCTGTGGAAAATCCACCTCAGTTCAACTTTCAGAAAGATTCTATGATGTGCTCGACGGCAATGTGGTAAGTTGCAACTTGCAGTGGATATTATACCTCAGTGATTCAAATATCTAGAGTGGCATCACATAATATTTTGGTTGATATATTTTAGCAATACATAACTTAAATCTATCAAAATGTTTGATAACCGTCATGGCTCCTATTTCAAGGTTATTTAGAAGAAAACAATCTATTCATAACGATCTATGTATAAACTTGATGTTATTATAATCAAAAATGTCCACTCTCAGACGATCGATGACATTGACATCAGAGAGATTAACGTAGCGCATCTGAGACAACAGATGGGGCTAGTTTCTCAGGAACCTATCTTGTTCGACTACTCTATTGAGGGTCAGTACAGTTTGTAGCTGAACATATTTGTTGAAATTACAGGAGTATACAAATAGGATTACATTATAAAGATGTGTGATTTCGTTGTCACCTATATTCGTCAATAAAGTAAAAATAACTGACCAATAAACAGAGTTTTTATTCAGAGAATATAAAGTACGGAGCTCTATTCAGAAAGGTGACAGAGGATGAAGTCCGGAGAGCTGCTATCGCTGCTAACATCAACGACTTCATCATGTCTCTTCCCGATGTAAATCGCGCAGAATACTCTTACATTCATTATTCACAGTATTAGTTGGTGTCTGATTCTAATTTTCTAGTACTTAAGTATTTAAACCAAATTAAGTATAAAATTTAAATTTAATATTCCAACTCACTGTTCACCATATCAGGGGTATAACACCCGTGTTGGTGAAAAGGGGACACAGCTCTCGGGAGGACAGAAGCAGAGAATAGCCATTGCTCGGGCTCTAGTTAGGAACCCTAAGATACTGCTCCTAGACGAGGCAACCAGTGCCCTGGATAACGAAAGCGAGAAGGTAAGAGATATAGATGATCAAGTGATTTTCTGATAAAACATGCTGCGGAATTGTTACAGTGTTAAATCCATTATCGGCAATCAAAAATAAATGAGCAGATCCACAATTAAAATTAGTATCACAATGTTTGTATTGTGAACAAGTATGTACTTGTAGTCCTGATTATCCCCAGGTCGTACAAGAAGCTCTGGACAGAGCACGTGAAGGCAGAACATGTCTGGTGATCGCCCACAGACTCTCAACCATCCAGACAGCAGATCTCATCTGTGTCATCCAAGAGGGTTCAATTGTGGAGAGTGGGACTCACGCGGAACTGATAGCCATGAAAGGGGTTTACTACAACCTCATCAAATCCGCTGACCAACATTAGATTGAGACTTTTCCAGAGTATTAATAGAGACTTTTTGGCCACATGTAAGCTGGCATGGAACCGGCTGCGGTTTATAACTGAAATTTCAAACACAAAATACAAAACTTTCTTTGGTATACAAGCTAGCTGTAAACCTAAAACGTGTATTTAGTTAATTTTAAGATGGTCTGGACTTAATCGTAGATAGTTCTTTTGTCCCTTGTCACTTCCTTCACGTCATGACTAATGACACATTTATATTTTATGTCTAATTTCACTCTATTCGCTAATTTCTTGAAATTTCTGTATACATTTTCGTTTGCCCTTTTCTTGTAAATCAATCGCTGGATAAAATGTTATTATCAAACTCACCAAACGATAGCATTCTTTTTTACGACTTATCTATAAATACTGTTAAATGTTCTTTGTTTATGTTACATTAACATAATATGTCATGTGTAATGTGCATGCATCAACATAACCAATTCTTTTGTACACTCTTATCTTGTTTGTTGATTCTTTATAGTTGTATTGTGTAGAATATTGTTATCAGATAACTAAAAAATGTTTTGATGAAAGGATGTATTTTAATTGTTACCACTGGCTTAAAATTTAGACTTAATCCAATGTAAACAATCTTTAATCTAGGCTTCAACTAGCGCAGTGCTCATCCTGAAACAGGTCTAAATTGAATGTATGCAGACTTTTTCGTAGATAGTTCTTTTGTCCTTTGTCCCTTCCTTCACGTCATGTCTAATGACACATTTATATTTTATGTCTAATCCCACTCTATTCGCTAATTCCTTGAAATTTCTGTATACATTTTCGTTTGCCCTCTTGTAAATCAATCGCTGGATAAAATGTTATTATCAAACTCACCAAACGATAGCATTATTTTTTACGACTTATCTAATACTGTTAAATGTTCTTTGTTTATGTTAAATTAACATAATATGTCATGTGTAATGTGCATGCATCAACATAACCAATTCTTTTGTACAATCTTATCTTGTTTGTTGATTCTTTATAGTTGTATTGTGTAGAATATTGAACTATCAGATTGCTAAAAAATGTTTTGATGAAACTGAAAGGATAGATGTATTTTAATTGTCACCACTGGCTTACAATTTAGACTTAATCCAATGTAAACAATCTTTAATCTAGGCTTCAACTAGCGCAGTGATCACCCTGAAACAGGTCAAAATTAAATGTATGCGGAGCTTTTTCCTATAATTTATAACCAATTTCCTATAATTTATAACAATAATATCATTATCAATATCATAAGTATCCGACAATTTATTACTGGGCGGCGCTCAGCCTGTCATTCCGCCAAATCTCTATTATGTTTATGAACATAATAGCCTGGAGTCCCCAGGTAAGGACAAACGTGCTGTTGAAAAATGATCTGCAGTCTGCACCTCTAGCAAGCTCGGCAGGCGGTATAAGGTTTTCTGGGCGAAAGAGACGAGAGTTCAGAGTTCATAGTGATCAGCTGCAGAAGAAGAAGCAGAAGGAAGAGGGGAGGGAGGTTGAATTTCTTCTAAATCTAACCAGAGCTCCCTCCCGCGCTTGCATTCACGACAGCAGTACTGACTACTGATGCATGATGGATTTTAAGTAATATTTCAATTTCAATGAGATCACTTTCGCGATTATAACTGCAAACCGAGATACACTTACATTGTACATGAAATTTTGTTCATTTTTTGTGGTCTTATTCTTAATTTTGTCTTAGTATCCACATTTCAACTATAACTCACGTCTCACAGAGAATATGTACAATATAGTTTAGGCTTCCTACCTACCTATGTTGAGATTCGTTAAGCCACCCCACCCTTACCTTTCATATAAAGTTATTCTTATTCAAAAATATTCATATCTGACCAATCTATGGACCAATTAAAGCTGTAAACTTTGGTGCGTATGACCAAGCTACAAGTACAAGTACAGGTAGTGGTACTGGTAGAGCACGCGTAATCTCGGTTTTGGTGTGATTTGGCAAAATTGGACCAAAAATGCACCGGGTCTTAGTTTGTTGGTCCATCTCGAAAACAAGTTCACAAAAATCAGAGTGAACCCATTCACCATTGATGTCTCACTTCCCACGTTTCTTTATGAACAACACTGATTCCCGATCAGGAAGTTATGGTTGACTGATATTCAAGTTAGTGGCATAAAGGGCCAGGGGAACTAACGAGCCGTATTATGAAGCGAACACGTCATTTCAAACTTATGTGTGAGAGACAAATATGCCAAATTTCATTGGATCGTTTCAAAATTAAAATGATCGAATATTTACTGTACAAACTATGAGCAAAATACAAAGTATCCAGCAATATATCACTTAATCTGGGGATGCAGATGCCAAAAAATGTCACCATAGACTGAAGACGATCCTATTACAGTCCTGCGCTATTAGTATAGACTATAGGGGTCGTTCACATATTACGTAATCAATATTTTAGCAATTTTTACCCCCCCCCCCCTCCGTGCTCCGTGATCAACCGTGATCAATAGCCAACCCCCCCCCCCCTCCTGACAGTAATATTACGTAATCATGGCCTGACCTCCCCCACCCTTGAATTTTTTCCCTAGAAATCACTTTTCTCTGTTTCATGCTATAGTCAGTGTAATAAGCGCCAAGCGCGAGCACAGAATTTTTTTGTCCAAATATCGTTTATATGCTTTTTAAAGTGTGCGGGGGATACGGAAGCATCGAAATTCACCGTGTAGCAATTTTCACTCGCTTAATTTGACACTGATATTATTTTTTTTGGGTTTTGATTGTCAATGTGTAAAAACGTTTTCTTACCATCATCCGATGAGTTTTTTGGTCAAATTTTGATACCAATATTTATCTCATCAATGTGTTATGAGTCCTACACCTTCATATTATGAATTCCTGCATTGGTATGCGAGTTATTTCAAAATAAAAATTCCAGTGATCCGCGCTACGAAGAGTTCACGTTCAGATCAAAGTGTTAACGCATTGACTTTTTACATACACATAATAATTTTTGGCGCGCGCGCCAGCGCTAATTCTTGCTAAAAGCATATGGTTCTTATTCTCAGCAAACAACAAAATGGCGAACCTTTTCTTTTTGCAGTACGGCCACGGTCCTTTCGGTCAGATTTCCTTGCAACATATTCGAAAAGCTCTCTTGTTATTTTCGCAACTCTTATGGGATCCAATACTATTTGCACCAGAATTTTATTATCAGACTTTAAGCTGCAGGTTTCATGCTTATTTTTTAGCTACTAACTTTATTATCTACTTAAACCATGCTAAACTATAGTGAGGCCGGTGAGTACAAGTTCAGAGCCATAAGTTTAAGTTTAAGATTTCATCCAGCATGTATAATTATTGTATATATACATACTGGATAAAATCTTAGATATACTACATCCGTAAAATAAGCTATTGTTTATAGCTTGTACGTAAAATAAAAAGAATGCCTTCCTAGCAGTAACAGCAGTACAGAGGTCAAACTGAAGTTTAAGTTACATGTCTAATGGAAGAGGGCATTTCTCTGCTATTTTTGTGATTTCAAAAATAAACGGCGCATTTGATTGCATTTGATTGAACTTAATTTCAATTAAAACATATGTACAGTCATTAACAGTCATATATGAAGCTCAAATCGAATATGAAGCTATAAAATCAGACCCTTAATCGAATCGAATCGAGAGATGCTTATACAGTTTAAAATTTTGAAGTTAAAATGTCTATTTTACTAGCAGTCAATATAATATTTGTTTCATACAACAAGACTTGCTGAATAGCAAGGTTGCGGCTGCTTTTTAATCATTCCATAGATGTAAGTTTTAATCAACGGTGAAAAATGTACAGCCTTTAAGTCCTCTTCATTTGTACCCCTCAAAACTGGTTAGCGTTTATGTAACATTTGTTTCTCGTAAACAATTTTATTACATCATCAGATAAGAAATATTTTTAAAACCATTACTCATAATATGTACTATGATTCGAATAAATTTATAACAAAAATACAGCAGATTTCCTTCTCAGTTAGATATCAGCAATAAAGTTTAAGTTAAAATACGTTCCCTAATCCTTTCACAAGACCTTGCGAGTTATGATATTAAGAATAATTCAAGTTGATGCCGGACTTATTAATATTCAAATAACTTATTAATATTAAAATAAAATGGGTAGGCATTTTTTGTCCTGTGAAATGTGACCTCGAAGGACGTATTTAAGATTTTTAATCCGTTGAGTATATTAAATTACGGTAGTTCGGGAGGTATCCACTTTAACTACATAAATTACCTCAGTATGTGCAAGCTTTTTAAATGTTAAGGAAAAGTGACCTTTATTCCCTTTATCAAGTGCAGTTATCCTGGATTATCATAACTGGCAACATGACGTACAATTATTATCCGTTTAATCGCTTATGTAATGGACCAAATCTAATAAATCAAAAACGATGTTTAATATGTATAATCATGTAAGATGTATGATCCGTTGAAATGGAGTTGGTCCTCCCCAAATTGACGCCATGTCGTCTGCTTTTTTTATACTGTCGTGTGCTCACTCTTAAATGAGTTAGGCAAATACAGAATAAAGCGGCGAGACCGATTAAAACTTTGAACTAATTACAACACTACAAATTTATTATATTTATTGAGAATTATGTAATGTAACGTGATGGAAATATTTTAAATGGGCATATCCTGTCCAAACCCAGGATGTACCTACTACATGAAGAATTCGTTTTAACTTTGTTTGAAAAGCATTAATATAATATAACGGCTCGTTGCCGATAAGCGCAGATAACTGATATATATACGTGATTGCAGTAAGATAAATTCGGATTTCCGACAGATTTATTAAGTGTGGAAATGGCCGTTACATCTCAAAATGCGAATAAATATAAAACCTAACCTTACACGTCCTAGATACTGATTTTGAAGATATTGATATGTATGGTTATCGTTTCGGTTTAGAGCAATGAGCCAAAAAATTCCTTGTGAACAACTTCAGCATATGCAAAACTGTCTGTGCTGGCTGTACTTTTTGTGGGAGAGCTGTCTAAGAGCTCTTGCAGTCTTGCAGTTCTTTCATTGTTTCTTCCTCGTCAATAAGATCAATGATATCTCGTTTGGGTTTTGAGTACGGTGTGGTACTTCTTTCTCCAGTTCTAACAAGTTGAGGTTGAAGTTGAAGTTGAAGTTGAAGTTGAACTTGTGCTTCTTAATCTTCTTATCCTGATTGAATTGAAATAATCATCGTTAGTTTATGATATATAAGCCAATTCTTTCCAAGAACGAAATGCTTGTTAACATACTATTTTAATACTTTCAACACTACCATATAACAAATAGTTTGAGATCATGAATACGATCTTGCTACATTGAAACGTTGAGTAAATTCATTTCCTGATAAGAGCATTTTTCCTTGTCGCATCAAACGGGATCAATACAATTTTACACAAGAATACATTAACATACAGAGTTAAAGTGAGGTTGGGAAGGTAATAAATTTAAATTTCTCTGAAGGTTGGCGTCCACTTTAATTCAATGTTTTTAGAACTTACTAACCTTTATTACACAGCAT